AGAGAAGACAATATTGTAAATGAAGTGCTTTTATTTCTTTGTAAGTTTCGTTACTCAATACAATTCTTAATCAACAAGTATAAATGTTTTTAACATAGGCAAGAGATGTACAGGAAAATATAAAATATATGATCTGACAAGGCAAATATAAACGAAGGCAAAATTTAACTAAGTTTGATAACTTCTCCGATTTATTTACTTCTTTAAAAAATTTCTAAATCCAAAGGACGTAACAGAACTCTCGGTCAAAACAGATCGAAAAACTGAAATGTGCTAAAGATAGATTTTGAGCGAGTCGAAAACAGATCAACGAAATAAAATTAGACTAAGTCTAAAAACTGCTTAGCTGCGTCAATGGTAATTGTCACGAGAATACCTTCCAAGTGGCTAATTCTAAAACAAGCTAAAATAAGTTCAGAGTTTTTTTTTATCTTCTTTACAGATAAAATGGTTTCAAATTCGCTGGATTCGTCTTTAACAACAGCTCCACCCAAATCAGATTCCACTTTCTGTAGTTTTTAAAACAAAATCCTAAAGCAATTGTCTCGAAGCAATTCGTTCATTTGTACGTCATTTTTAGTTGGCAGCTCTAAGTTACTGTTACCTCTAAAATTAATTTCCATCTGATTCCCCTGAATGTCTAATACCCCATTCACACCAGCAAAACATGTTTTGTTAAACTGGTTTTCATTTAATGAAAATTATAAACAGAGAACTGAAAAACTTGATTTTCCATTGGATTCAAGTACTAGCTAACTTGCATTTCCAATGTGCTACATTCAAGTCAAAAATATTCGGTTAAATAGTTTCTATGAAGAAAAAAAAAATTAAACTGTGTTTAACAAAACAACTTTTAAACATGTTTAAGCTTTGGTGTGAATGGGGCATAAGTTTTCTTCAGTTACAACTCCTCTATTCACATTCTTCGTGGTCCACAGCACAAGGGAAATCAAAGGAACTGCAGAATTACACAAACGAACATCACATTAAGATAAACCAGATGAAACTTGCTTACAAAATAAAGGTCATTAAAACCTTATTATAATGTATGCATTTTGCTTGTCCTTCTGGATGTTATAAAGGAGTTGAAGATCACTACTTCCTGCGTTCTAAAACATCCTGCCGTCCCGGACGACGGGGTGTATTAGAACGCAGGAGAACTCATTGAACAACAGGGAAAGGGTTACAATCTTCGAAAATGTCCTCTGTGTAGTTCAGTGACACACTCAGAACTCTATGCAATCTTAACAGTGTCCAGATTGTCCTTAATCGTTTATGACAGGGAAAAAAGTAAAAAGTAATTCAGAAAGAGTTTCACTAGATACTGTTTTCAAAGTGCGTTCCTTTGAAAAAAATCCCGAGACTGAATCACTTTCTTAACCACTTTTATGCTGTGTTTTCGATAATTTCCACACATTAGGGTGGAAGAAGGCCTCTGCCCCTTCCCAACTTTTGTCAAGAAGGAGCACAGACTACCCTCATACCTCGAGGCCTACGACGATTTCGAAGCGCGAGATATCAAGAGTGCTTCTTCTCTTTTCTTAACAGCGGCGACAGCAATTAAAACGATTATCTGCGCTAACTTACGATCGACGCACTTCTTATAACAGGAACTTTACATATGAACTGGTTATACCTGCGCATCTACATAATATTGAAGAAAAATTGAAAAATTGAAGAAGTAAGGACATTTTGAAAACTCTGTAAACTTGGAATTGAAAAGCTACTTTTTTTGACTGTAAGTCGTCGATTAATTTATGAATAGGAAATTAAAAAGTTGTTTGACACAACCGCATTTCGGAATTTGAGTTCTCAGATATCAAAGTAAATATACCACTAGAATTGACTGTGTTCAGGGAAAAAAGTTTTCCTCTTTGATAAATTCAAGACCAGGAAAGTTATTATAAAACATTCTTCATGAAAGAAAAGCAAAGCTTTTAAGATTCATAAGGCTTTTTTAACAGAGCACAAAAGTTTGTTTACATTCCGATCATTCTTTGTTGGTAATAAAGTTTTATGGCAGAAATCAACCGATGAAAGAATCAGATATTTGCATAATTTTCGCTCGTAAATATTTGACGTACGTTTTTTGGTTAACAACTAAGCTCTTTACGAAATATTGAAAATGTTGAAATGTTTTAGAAAATTTGTCTTTTTCGTCTTCTTACGGAAAATATTCATGAAAACCTTCCGGTGATGTGGAACGAATTTTATAAATGAAGTATCTTACCAAAATCGATTTCGGCTGTAAATGGTATTTTTCTTTTTTCTAATTCTCCAGACACTCAAAAAAGTTGAATACGCCGCCTTGATGATCTGTCATATGCAATTATTTTAAGAATTTGCAACTGACCAACAAAAGCCAACTCGAAACGATTCTGTTGTTTTGGCTTAACTGACCAAACTGGATTTGTGCATACATAAGTCAGTTAGCCACATACACACACCCTGAGCCTATTTTGTGTAAACTAAGTCCTGAGCTTACCTCGGCGTAATAATTTACTTTCGTTTCCTTTCCATACGTTCTTGTGATTTTTACGAATACTTCCACTGCAGAAGTGGATCTGCATGGGTGAAAGAAAAAAAAGTTTCTCTTGGCTCGAAAGACTGCGTTAGTATTCGATAGCATACTGTGTACTGTTCAGCAAGAATTAATCTGTCTGTATTGCAAGTTTCAACTCGTATTGGATTTATCGCCAAGCAAAGAATGTCCGTGGTTACAAAGCCGCGTACATACTGTTACCATAAATGGTTTAATTTGCCCTTAAAACTGTTCTCTGCTTTTTTTTATCGTTTTGTTGGCTAACAGAGATACGAGTGTGGCATTGCTTGTCGAGAACTACTTCGAAGCGTTCCTTTATCAAGTCAGAATCCTCCAAAAATCAACAAGTCACCATACAACAACTTAAGATTTGAACACATCCCCACTCTTACCGTGTATTCTGTTTTAGAAGAGTTTTTCTCAGCCTTTTTTTACCTGACAAGCGGTCAAATTCAACCACGCGGGACCGTAAAATGTAAATGAGTTGAAAAATTTCCTCACGTGCAAATTTATCTTCGCGTAGAAAACTTTGAAAACGAGGTTGGTTTAAGTTAGCTTACCGAGGCTTCCTGCGGAGAGATAAAAATTCATGAGGGTTTTTGTAGATTATATTTCGTGTGGCTGATTGCCAGGTTTACGAAAATAAACACATCCACTCACAGAAACACCAAAATGTTTGAAGCTGATTTGTACGGAGGTTGAGTTAAGAGGGTGAAATACCTTCAGGATGAAAGCTGGAGCTACAGATTAATATCTAAGTGTACTTAGTTGAGTTAAAATAATGCGCGGGTCGAGTACAAATATCCTGCGATATTTGGACAGTTGGTCATTAAACACCTGTTTGACCGGTCAGCTGCGCGTGTTACGCTTCTCAATCTGCTTCGCTTTTCCCACCTTTCAAGAAGTGTATATGAGGTTAAGTCGTTTGTTGTTTGTATTTTGACGATCCCGCAAGGCGAGTTAAAATACGGTACAGCTCGTAAAAATACTCAGCGATACTACACACCAAAACGTCTGATAAGATATATGAATCACACTGCTCTGCATGTCAAAGAAAAAAGTGCTTTCTCCAAACGCAATGAATAGAACATTGGACTAAATAAGCAGGCGTGAAGTCAAGATCGTAGGATGCCGCGCATCTCGATTGAGTGTCGTGAAACCTCATTCAGGGTTGTCAGTACAGTCAAACATGTGGATTGAAAATATCACAAGCAGCCGTGGAAACAAGCAAGTTGCTCCAAGCTCGGTAAAATGCGCGTGACCGAGGCGCAATTTCTTTTCGCTCCTATTTTGATCAGTCGGGAAGATGGCAGAGTTTACTGGACCAATCAAACAGCGAAGTGCAGCAAAATCAAAGCAATAGCCGCATTGCTTTCGGCACTTAACTGAAAGTTGTTCCAAGGGCCGCATTCTATTGATGAAGACCGAGACAAAGACGGCAATCATTCAGTTCAAAACTCCGAGAGGAAGCCGACCTCTGCCATGGGGTCTCAAGGATCTCATCTGATTCATACGACGAGTCATTTGCATCTTCTAAACCCTTAACCTCCCATGAGTGACCAAGAGGGAATTTCTTCTTACAATATCATTTCAATATTAAGCATAGAAGTGATGAGAATAAAGAAAAATATCAATTAGAGGATTACTAGTTGATCCAATTCTCCAAACTGACGTCTAAACAGTCGTATGGCAGACAGTAAGGAGGGTAATCCGTTTGCACTGTTAAGAGTAAATTGCATTTAATTTCTCCTCACAATATCACTCTCGCATTAACCACTAAGGTCAAGAAAATAACAGCAATGATTACCAACTACAAATGCTCTTGATCGTTAGACAAATTCTCCTTGTCGGCAGCTTAGAGAACGCTATTAATAACATGCATACTGATGTCAGGGTGTAAAGAGTAAAAGCCAGTTTGAAGAACAAGAACTGCAAAATGTTGCCCATACTCATGGCCAAATAGGTACTCAAGATTTCAAGGAAGAAACAAGAGGTCAGAAATAACGTAACGCATTACGTCAAAAGGCAAAATACAAAGAAAAAGTGTAAGGAAATTTTTATTTGATTCGCTACAAACGAAACGATGACGGAGGTTTTACTACATGATATTACAAAATTTATGCTACGACAACTCAAAGTCACTGTTAAGACGTACTTTGACTTAAAGTATATACAAGAACACGGGCTAAAAAACTAGAAAGTGTCACGGTAACCAAGCACTAAGAAAAAGACTCTCAGATAGTCTGACTACTTGTGCAGAACTTTTTCACAAGGAATAAATTACTCTATCTGCTCAGAGAAAGCCTACATTTCAACGCATGTCCTGACCATCTAAGGCGTGGAAATTATCTATTACAAGAATTTTGGGTAATAGGACACTTAACGGGAGCATTCAGAAAAATTTCACTCGTTTGGAAGACGCCATGAAACCATGACTTCCCAAAGTAAATAGTCCATTCGTGTTAACTTATAACTAAGCCCCTTCTTCAACAGGCAGTAGAGATACAAGCTAAGAAAACATGTCATCTCTATCAGCCCCAATAACTTCTACATCCTCCATGGTGCTGAAGTTGAGGAAGTGTGATGGCCGGTGGACTTCATGGTAGAACTCTTTGGGGTTGGACAACTGCAACTCATAACGCATGTTTGGGGAGTGACGAACGCCTGGAAAGCAGAGAACGGAGAAGACTGTTAGATTTATATATCAGATAGTAAGTCATTTCAAAGTCTCTCTAACGAGCGAACCGTCCCCCCCCCCCTTCCCCCAACTTCACATCCCACCGCAACAGCTCATCCCAGTTCCCGAAGTAAAAAGGAATTAGGAGCATTGCTTCTCTTCCTATATGCACGCGAAATTCGTTTATTTTAAGGTTTCTTGAGAATTATTCCACAAAATTCGAAGAGAAGAATTGTTTGTAAAAAATTCCTTAAACTACAATCAAATAGGCCACGTTTTCTTCAATTTGATTCGTTTCATCGTCAAGAACATGAAGTCAAGCGGTCGTAACTTTCACGATAAGCTGGACTGGATTTTTCTCTTTGATTTTTTGAGGTTAATCTCCTTTACCATTTCCCGTTCTTCTCCGATACGATATAAAATTTTTGCTTTTGAAACAGGAGTGAAATTGGTGAAGTTACTTGGTTAAAAATAATTTAAAAAAGGTTTCTCATATCTTGTGGACACCAATACCACTTCTTGAAACAAAGTGACACTTGATAGAACTCACCCATAAAATTGAAGTTCCAGGATCCCTGAGTAGGTACCATGAAGAAACCAAGGAAGCGATCTGACAACAGCATCTGTACTTTCTCGTAGTGAGACGGAAGGTAACCCCTGGGATTGTTCCCTGTGTCCTTGTTGTTCCGCCCCCAGTCGTAACCCGAAGGGGTCAGTTTGTAGGCTGTTAGTGAACACGATCCTGGGGTAAAACTGAAAACCAAACCATGGATAAAATGAGTGACGCCTAACCAACGATTCTCACCATTCATCATTTTTCTTACTCTACACCCACAGAAGACGCTTGGCTGACAATAAGCAGGATGTTTTTCACATTAAAACATTGCAGGTGGCCTAAGCCCCTTATCAAGTGCTGTCGAAACGCCCTGCTCTCCTCTCAGAGATGATTTCTTACTGGCGCTCCAATTCTCCCGTTACGTCACTGATTAATTTAACTGTTCTTGTCTTTCTTAACACTGCTGGGAACTAATCAAGCCCTTGTGACAGGATGATTTAGGGATGGCGAACCTGCTTCGCTGAATAAATTAAGTAAATGTTTACCTGCATGTAATGATGACTGTTTTCTCGCCATCCCAAGACGGATTGTCCGCCATGATCTTGGCGTGCGTTGTGACATCTTGTGGAGAAAGCTGTGGAAGTTCATTGGGCTGGGTGTGAACCCACCCTAAGGGTTCCATCTCCTGAAAAAACAAAAACGAAAAAAGTGTTACTGTTGAAACCTTTCACTGAAAACTACCCACATTTTTAGGTAAACAAAAACGTCCACCGAGAAAATACTCGTGAAAAAGCATGCATAAGATCAGATACTTTTTATTTTTTTTAAGGGAACTCGTTGAGTAACGGTCTCGACCGCCCCGTTCACGATTTGAGATGTTGGCGGTCCAGTAGTATATATCACCCGACATGCTCTTGAGAGAAATTAGCCATGAGATCATGACTTTTAAGAAGGATGTAAAAACTTTGTTACAAACGTGGAACGGGACAAAACAAAAAAAAGCTAATTTGGATACTTTAACAGCTAAGCCACAAACAACGAGTCGGTGAGCGAAGAGAGCAGAGTATTCTCCCGTTAGTTTTCCGAAGATTCAAAATTTAGCAGATCTGTGATTTTCACCGCTCTCTTTCACAGAACAAATATTAAGGGATCTAACCTTGAGATAGTCATGCTGTGGTAACATGTTTGGTAAGTGCACTGTCTGGTGTGTGCCCCACTGCGGTACCATCACAATACACCGGATCTCTTTTACCTGTGGGTTATCAGGCGGACTTACTCCGTACAAGTAACCGGCGATCTACAAAAACAATACACACCATAAGAATCTTTTGTGGAGAAAAACAGTCACCTTTCACACTTTTCTGAACAAATTCTAAGTAACTCTAGAGAACCAAAGTGGTCGCACGAAAAATACAAGATTTTCATCATTTGTCGCAGAAGTGCGAAACTTTAAAAAAAAGTGAATGACAAGATTTTTCCTTAAGTTGACGAGAACATGTCGCTTTGACCCTTTCACTCCCAGCAGTGACCAAAACATAATTTCTCCCTACAATATCAATACAGCATCAAGCAGGCAAGTATTGAGAATACCAATACATATCAACTAGGAGACTATCAGTTGATCTGACACCACCTTCTCAGAATAATATGTATAGAAAATGTATGGCAAAAAGGAGAATTTTCATCTAGATATTAGGAGTGAGGGGGCTAATGAGTGGCTGCTCATGATCATGACCTCTGATTGTTCTTCACGATTACTTCGATCGAAAAGCAGTTTCAAATTGAACAATTCTCTACCTGTGTCCTTAAATCCGAAATCACAATAAACTTCTTCAGAATATTCTTTGGCAGGATGTAGGTAAAGCCAGTTTCTTTGATGTCATCTGATGACACGTAAATGTGGTTGGTTCTCAGATGTAGGTTGGTCGCAGAGATGGCTCTGACACGCCACTCAGTCTTGGACGAGAACGTCTGTGTCTCGTAGTTTGATGTCGTAGAAACGATGATCTCATCTCCGTGGATGTTGGTGGTTCGAGTGGTAGTGGCTGTCAGTTGTGACTGTTCCTTGGTCTGCTTCTCGATTTCGGCTATCTGCTGCCTCTGTTGCGAAGGGGCCGAGATCTCCATTCCGAGGATAATATCACGGATTTCAGACTGTGTCAGGGAAGCTACGTTCACACTAAGAAAAAAGGACAACTTGAGGTCACGAGGCTATCTGATTATGAGAAAACGCAGAGAGTATGCACGAAAGTAAAAAAAATTAAGGAAAAAACCCAAAAATTAGAAACCGTCAACATTCACTTACTTGTTCTTTTTGCCATAGTCAGCTAAGATAAGATCTTTCAGAGCAACCTGTACAACAAACACAACAGTTGATCACTTTCAAGGAAAATAAGCAATAAAATATCGGAATAAATTATAAATCCAACGGTCATTCGCTTGATTCATTAGTCTCGTGAAAACATCTATGAAGAAGAACCAACGGACACCTCGCGAGACACAAGACAAAGCGCGCGCGTACGACTGAACCACTCCACACGCGCGTGTGAACGCGAAAAAACACGAAAACATACAGGCCATGCTGACCTAGGTGTTTGGAATCGAATAATACAAAGCTGCATCTACGTACCTCAACTGGCACCCACTCCTCGTCAGTCAGTGTCGGCCAGATGTGATGGGGTTCAGTAACTGTGGTCTTATCCGGTTTAAGGATGACCTTTGTGCGGTCAGCGTTCACGTGCAAGGCTCGGAGAATGAGGATCAGACGGGAGAACGCTGTGTAAGACGAAATAGTCTTCAGCCAATCGTCGTACAGGTTAAACAACACCATCTGCGGCTCTGTGGCTTTCAGAATCATGTCACCAAGCTTCTCAACCTGCGAGATACAAACACGGCTTTAGACAACATTACAATAGGGTGCGTTAAAACACATTTGCCAAAGGTTTAAGAAAACAGGAAAGTTAGAGGCTTTCCTGACCTAAGTGTTACTTTTAATTCAAACAAACCTTCAAACAAGCTTGGAAAGGAAGCTGCAGCTCACTGCCTTTGATAACAATGTTCGGGAAATCCAACAAATGAACCTGATAAATAAACCATTTTAGTCAACAACCTCAACACACTCAAACAGCAGCATATTCATGAAAGAGACCAAATTCCAAATCAACATCTTCATGATTAACAGATATTTGTAAGAACACAGCAAAAATTTTACTGCACCTCCAGAGGGTCAAGCATGCCTTTTCTTGTGACAATGATCTGTTTAGGTTGTTCTTCTACTGGAAGCGAACGAATCAAGGCCGCTACTTCTTCTGCTGTCTTCCATTTCGCCAGCTAAAGTTTCAAAACACACTTCATTTTAAACAGTCAACGATACTTTAAGACGTAATTTCATTAAAAATAGTTTGATTTAATTCAAATACCCCTTCCAAGTCTAACCTAAAACTGACTAAAAGACAAGACACAATAACACGACCTATCTGCCTCACTGCATAAGATTATCTCGTGGAAGACACTGAGTATTTTGAGTCTATCAACGGAAGAGGTGACACCATGACAGTTTTAGGCGACGTACCTGTCCAAGACGCTTCTGTCCCGCCCACACAGAGGTATGAATGATCTTCAGGAAGAGCTGCCCCGTTCGAGGATTGAAAATAAAGATGGCGCCGTTGATGGGTTTGGTCGTCAAGTTACCCTCAAATGTCTGAAAGGAAAGAGGTGAAATTGTGAAAGATAATCAAGCGCGCGGTTTTCTTTAGTTATTTTCCCTAAATACAGGTCGCTTTCTTTTAGCTAGATCTAGCTGATGGGAGCTTTTCCTTCGTAAATGGTATCGATCAGTTCTGATAACAAACACAAATAATTCTGTTTGAACTAGTCCTGCTTTTCGAGAAGTAGCCAGGCGGTTTCTGCGAGGAAGATTCACGAGATGCGCAATAACTCCGAGAGTCGAATACTTCAGTGCAAAATCATGGTATGATACTGAGGACACGCTAGAACCAGTTCTTTCTGTTCGGCTTAACATTATTAAAGTAAAGCACCCTCAACCCTTAAAATCAGACACCGTTCACCCTCGAAGCGAAGTTCTCGGGATTTGTGCAGCTTCTTCTTTGCGCGGACAGAAACAAATTCCTGCGGCATAAGACTGCTTAACATGTCACAAAATACCTACCTTGTGAATCGTGACTCTGTACACGTTAGTGTCGTCCACAAACCAGATGATCTGGTTGGAGAAGAGTTCTCCGTAGTTCTGCGAAGACAGGTAAGGCTCAGTAGGTTCACTGGAGTACAACTGAAGGCCTTTCCTGATTCTCTCCCTCAGCACATACAAGGCGGGATTGGCTTTCATAATCTTTGCCATGGCCTGTTGGATGAGCGGTTTCACTCCTGGAAACCAGTTACCAAAGGCACTGCAGGAAGTAACAGGAAACGGTTATCAGGAAAAAATTGGAAATGGAAATGCAGAAAAAATAAAAAATAATAAATTAATTTCAACGTAATATCTTAGTACCAGGTTTCACTCTAACATTCCTCGTCCAGAAAGTCGAAACATTCCCACCCACCCGTAGCCCACAGAGCAAGCGTAGTTTTGGCGAGCGAGTGTTCAGTACTTTCTTGGAGAAAATTATAGCCGCCATTTTTTTATTTTTATAGCAGCGGACGGCTGGGGAGAGAAAAATTTGTACCAAGGGGGGTGAATGTCGGTTAAAAAAGAGGGGAGAGGAGGGGGTGGGGATGAGTCTTCTCTCCTCTCCCCGTCCCCCACTCTCACTGTTCTTCTAACTTTAAATCAATCATGGCCGGTGGAACAAAAAATCGTGGGCTCATAACGTTAACTGCCCTTATAAGACGCCTGTGCTGCAGTAGAGTATTGAAGACTACTTCGCAATTTTTCCACTCCTATAAATTTTCCCTCCAAATCTTTCAAGTCTCGTGTTACCTGTGCAGATTATAAGCCAAGTCAATGCCAATTAGCACTCCCGTAGGGGAGGGGTAGATACTCATGTTGTCAGTGGTGTAGTCCAGGTACTTTGCGCGTGCGTATCTCTCGATGTCATGTGAGTCGTAGTCTCCCCAGCGGAGCTGAACGTCGACCCAGTACTTTTGGGTTGTAGTACTGTCCATGATGTCACTGCAAAGAAGAGGTGACAAAAGATCATTTAGTGAAGGAAAAGTAATGGTCTGACCACCATCGACTTGGAAAATTTAGCTGGCTTCAACACGATAGCAAATTTTAATTTACTGACTGAAGAAGGTGTCTAAATATAAAATACAGAAGTAGATGTGTAGTAGCGAGGAGGTTTTCTGTGAAATAAGACCTAGCTGAGCCAAGCTAAAGACGACTTGTTTAAGTCATCAGAAGAATCTCACTAAATACTAGCCCTTTTTACATTGCAGACAATTTTTCTAAAAAGAAACCAGCCGATTTCTTTAATCAGACGGCAAATCAGCATGACTTCTAAGATTTTTCTACTTCAATAAAGTACACACAGACTTACTTTGAGTCAGCCAAAAGGGAAGGTTTCGACACATTCCACTTGTATGCGGCAAACAACAGGATATCAGCACATGAACTGTTCATCTTGTATGACTTACGAGGGTGAATGGTCTCTTTCTGTACAGTCTCAATCTCCAGAGCATCTAGTTCTTGGTCAAACACCTTGAGGTATGTTAATGGACATCAGTAAGATACAGCGCAAAGAAGGTTTAAACTTCAAATGTTCTTAACCATACGACCCCCAAGAGTGACTCGCATCTAATTTCTCCTTACAATATCACCCCTGAATCAAGCATTGAGATCACGAGAGTAGAGAAAATGATCACTAATAAGAACAGCTCTTGATTTTCAAATAAATTCTCCTCGTCAGAATCTTAGAAAATGCATAGAGGACAGTATGGAGAAAATACGTACTGATCTTAGGGTGTAAAGGGTTAACCCAAAGCTAAATTAAGCATGACGACCAGTAAAAAAAAAGAGCAAAGGTTAATTCAAAATAAAAACAAGTTAACTACTCAAAGCTTTCGGTCTCAGTTGGAATCTGATTGAATGAAAAGGCAGTGCGAGTTTTTTAAACCAATTACAAACGGAAGTAGCCTGCTCCTGGCCCCGGTTGTTTGAAGGGCGGAAAATGCTATCCTCTGGGTTAATCTTATCCGGTGGATAGCGCAGTATGCTCCGTGAACACTTGTGCGCTAGATACCAATCTATCCGTGGAATAGCGTTATTCGCCCCTCGAACTGTGGATCTCAGCATTACCTGACACAAGTCCATCACAACACTCTCGTGGACTTTCTGCCACAAATGAGCTCTGAAAATCTGAATGAGTGAGATCTTCAATGTTGGAATCTTGCCATGCATAAATATTCCTGTCAGGTCAAGTTGCACCTGGAAACCAACATAAACCTGAAACGCAAAAGAAAAAAAAATAAATAAATAAATTAATAAAGCAGAGTGGTCGCCTTGTAGTTAAAGTCTTCTTTAAGCCCTGGCCAGGTCACTGCGTCGAGTTTTTTTTTAAGCCAGACATTTCCTGTCTCCATCCAGGAGTGTGCCTGGGAACTAACTTAATGTCAGGGAAACTCGGCCATCTACGACTGATTATCACCAGTACAGGAGGAGTGGCAATACTTCTCGTCACTCCACAGTGGCCAGACTTGTGGGTTTTTAGCAGAAAAAAGTCTCGCAACGGCAAGATCGCAAATTAAAAATCAACAACATCTGACTTAGAACCGCGAGTAAAGATAGGGGTAAGTTTGGTTGAGAAATAATTTGCTGCGGGGAAAAAAAAACCCCAACCACAACTACAAACAGACTTCGTTCTTTCAGTTACAGTTTGGACCTTCCCCCTATCAAAAAATCCTGGACACGCCCCCTGCTTCATTCGCCAGAAACCGGAAAAAGGCTTCCGCAGTAATGAGCTACTGAGCTTGTAATAAACCATGCGACAATATGTGAAACTAGTCCGTGCGAAGCAATATATATATGGCTTACGTTCGCTCTGTTGATAGTCGGTGACCACCAGAGTGTGAATCTTCTGTTGGGAATCTGATTCAAACCAGATCTCTGTGCATTGGTCAGTTTCTTGTACTTCATGGACTCCTCAAACCCACTGGCCTTCTCCCAGAACAGACCCTCCCATGTGGGGAAGTAAGTTCCTTTAAACAGCGTGTGTTCCAGGATTCCTTCCACGCCACCAAGGGCTTGGATCATGTCTGTACGGTAGTTATTCAAGTTCCATAGTTTTCCGTCATGACGCTGATGTGTCCACCAGAATGGATTCTGTTTAAGAACCTGAAAAAGGTGGCACAACGGGGCTTAATAATTCAAATATAACAAACGGCTTAAAACTTGTGGGTAATGAAGCTTATTTAAGGTTGTTTCAGGGGTGACGCATCTTGAAACAATAAATTCCAAATTAAAAAATTCCTTCAGTAGTACTGGTTGGTAAGTGTCGTAAATCTAGCGAAAAGACTTGTTCTTCACATTTGGTTAGAAAGATTGCTGCATGTTCTCTCAAAAAGAAGAAACCAGAGTCAGATGGAAAAAGAGGAAGACGGTCTCAGAAAAGTAGTAAAAATGAATAGAGACTTGAGTCATTCTTAATCAGCTTTCACTCTGTTCGGAAAATATAAATATATAAGTTAGTTTACCTGGTACTGCTTGAAGTCTGTTCTCACTCTCCAACCCTTGTCATAGGCGAGCGTGTGTCTGTCCTTCTGAAACAGTGTGTTGATACGAGGGATTCCACGATCCCATGAGTCCTCTAAATCTTCCAAAGTCAATCGCCTAAAGTAAAGAACAAACATAATCTTTACAGAAGACTTCTTTCAACTGGAATTTTCAAAACTAACTGAAAGAAGGCGAAATAGTGCGGTTAAAAAAATTTCAGTCGACCATTTTTGTACCGTCGGCCTTCCACATTGACGTCGATGAGAAAAAGTTTTTAAAATGGAATAAGATGGTAAATATTAAACACGGTACTGGGAAGAAGGTATTTTTTGTCTTATCATGAGTGTGAGACAATATCAAAAAGAGTCACCCTGAAAAATCGAATCCCAGATCGTAGTATTTTTTTATGCTGTCAATTGCACTCACGCACGCACGCACGCACGCACACCACGCACGCAAACGCACGCACGTGCCAGCGCACATCCAATGAACGGCAAGGAAGGAGATATGAAGAAATAAGAAATGCAAATATGTGAAATGAGAACATGGGCGCAACGACTGGACAGCAGCTTGTCGAAAAAGCTTGTTCCGGTGAAGAGACTTCCGAAAAATTAATTTACTATGGAACCCACCTGTTCTGAGCATTTGCTTCTTGCCGTTTTAGCGCGTACTCTGCCCACACTCTCTGAGAATCAATGAATTCACTTTCCCATGGCTGGATGTACCTGTTGTGTTCACAGAATAAGCAGTACTATTATCGTGTGGCATTTCATAGAATGGCTTGGGTTTAAATCACGCTGAAAGTGTATTGCGATGTTCACATTAAAGTAATTAGACCAATCTTCAGATCCAATTCTTTAATTATTTGAGCGGGCAAAAATTTCAAATATGCTCAGCTGCAACAAACTTTACTAGTCGGGGAGACGTTAGCAGGAATTACAATATACTGTACCTGTACAAGTTAGGAATCAACTGATCTTTGTCATGACTCATTCCAGATCTAAAGTGAGTAATTCCTACATCGGTCTGTTGTGACCACCTGAAAAGTACAAACAACAGTACCCCTCGGTTACTGAGATCAAGAAGGAGATAGGAAAAAAGATGCGAATTATTGTGACAGAAAAATAATGACTGTAGCACAAATGAGACAATAATGCGCCAGGAAAAAATAAGCAAACAAACAGAAAACATAAAAGATTAAAACAAAATGCCCAATGGACTTATTGTCAAAAGGCAAGAAGCTTCTAGTCGTGTGAAACATTTCTCGCACAAAAACCCTCATCTCTCAACAACCAAATGTTTTGAAAACTCTTGCTAACTTCACAATTAAGACTTAATACTCGCCTTGAGCCTCCAAACTAAAAGTTTCCGACAAACCAGGATCTAGAATTGAGGATTCAGTTTCGAGGGACGGTCATGTTATATTGGAGTGGTAAGTTTATCAGGGTTCATTCTTTACCTGAGATCTGACTGTGGAATGAGGACATGGCCCATGGACAACATACCAAGTCCTCCCAGCTCTTTTGGAGTGTAAAATACAACCGGAGGGAACCGACTAGGCATCTTGGAATTCAGCCCGATCTTGATACGTGTTTGGATCTGGAAGATAAAAACAATTCCATATGAAGAACTACTTTTAAAAAAACCACTGACAATGCTAAACAACGAACTTTATGGCCAGTGACAATAATACTTCTTTTACACTGACATTTCCACTTGTGAGTACGCAGTCAAAGTATGATATAGTATCGACGATAGTACTTCACAGTGTAAATCCCAGTATGTAAGAAATAAAACGATTTACAACTGTAACTGAATACCTTGTTTTCGCATTTCACCAACAAATCCAGCAACTCTTGAGTGTTGACAACTGACTCCCTGTAATATGTCATCAAACCAATCAAAGCCGTGTTCCATTTGTTCACAATTTTGGTAAACGTAGTTGAACCAGATGCCATTAAGATTTGACGCACTCTGTTGTGGAATCGCTGCTGTGACTCGTCGTCAACCTTGAGGAAGCACTGAGCAGTTCGCTCTTTAGTGACCTGTCATCAAAAAAAATTGTTATTTTATTTTATTGCGTGTTCAAAAACACTTCATTTAAAATCTCTTATAATCTCCTCCATGTTTAGCCATTTTCGTCCCTATTTTTGCCTTGTTTGTGTGTTTTTTCTATCTTACTGAGCTAACAGCTTGAATTCTTCTATAAGTTGAAGGTGTCTAAGTACATCACAGTCTTTGATTCGAATCATGAAGCATTTAGCTCGTTCCAGGCTTTCATTTAGTAAAACGGAGCAAAATAGTAATCGGTGCGAAAGAGCGAAATTGAGGGAGGTCCGGGTCTCCCTCGACTCAAACACGCTGCTTACCATTTCGCTTTGTTCTATTAACTGAACAGGCTACGGTGTGGCTCCTACAAATGAGAGATTGTCCGTCTAAAAATGAAAAACTGATTGAGGGCAAGATTCATTAGCAGTCATGTGTTGTACATACCTCATTTTGCAAGTTCCACACTCCATCCCTGTGAGTGAATTCCTCAAATGTTGTACGACATTTTGGAAGAATGCGGCATTCAAAGCCACACATGTTAAACAGCAGATTTGGATTGTCTTTACTGTAAACAGACACAAAACTTTCATCCCAGTTGAGTGTTGTCACAGATCTTGGCAAGCGGTTCTTTATGTCCCAGAATACAGCACGCCCAAGATTGACGTCGTGTTTCATGAGCCTCATACGTGCATCCCTTGGCCAGCATTTCCTGTTGTTGTAGCCTACGATGTTTTCGTTATTTGGATCAGGGTGCTCTGTCAGGTAACGCTGGATCAGATCACGGGCCTCATCTGCTGTAAACCTGAAATACAATCCAAAGTTGCTGTAACACCAGGCAAAATTGGCTTTTGCAATATCTTAATTTTGAGGCTTCTGACATCACAAAGAAATACTCAAAGGTTACTCTAAACTTAAACAGATTAACAAGATTCGCAAACTTGGCTCTCCAGCATACGTATTTTTCAAGTTGCACTGACATCTTTCACGCAAATTGGCAAACCTTCAAATCAGAAATCTTCTGAATTTCACCAAGGCTCTTTTCCATTTTAGGTATTTCATTCCATTAAAACTTCACAAACCTGACAAGTTACAATATTAAGTAATGCTTAGGATTTCATAGCTTTTAACCCTTTCATTCCCAAGATCTCGTTCATAATTCTCCTTACTGTCTGCTATTCAAATTATATGACATTGGTTTGGAGAATTTGGAATTGAATCAACGAATAATCCCCTAATTAATGTTTTTATTCTCATCACTTGTCTGCTTGACATGATACTGATAGTGTAAGGAGAAATTCTCTCTTGGTCACCAGTGGGACTTAAGGGGTTGAACAGTGTCTTTTTAAAATAAGCCCTTGAGACCTACAATCAAGAACATTATGAATAATTACCTGAAGAAAATGTGCACTTTGTCGATGTATCTTGAATACAATCTGATGGGATGCTGTGACTCTGTCTGTACATCTTGGAAAGTCAAGAAGTCATTTGGCATCTGTGGAGGCCCTGCCATCTCACTGGCTCTCTGCAGACCCAACACCAAAAGATCCATCACCAATCCATAGTATTGCACGATGAATGACGCAAACTGAAGACCACGGATGATGCCATAAGAGTTGGTGTGGTTCATGTCCTGTTGAATTAATAGGAAAGCTATCAAGGCAGGGAATGGCTAGAATCTGTGTGTAATCATTGGTTATGTAGTGTGATTGTCTGAGTAAGGAGTCCTCAGAGGAAACCAACCTTATAATTAATCACAATATTGTTCTTTGCCGTCATGTAATCAGCAATGTTGTGATCAACAATCAGACGCAGGAGCCGATTCAGTAACGTCAAATCAATCTTCTCATACATCTTTTCAAAGTTTGACTCCATCATAACATTACATTCGCCTTCAGATGTCTCCCAGACGTCTTGCAAGTTGTTGATTCCTGAGAGCAAAGAAAGCAAAGATTTCTATTAGACAGCTTTTATTACTAGGGTGTATTTAAATGAAAAATTCTAGACTATTTTTTTCACTTTTTCCAGAACATTATTTTTCATATTCTGTTCAGGAGTAATTTTATATTAACAAGACAGGAACGAAAAACAAAAGCAACGCACTGCAATAGAAAAATTGCCCCAGCCAATCTCTCCCTGACTCGTCTCAAATCTTCCAGCAGGTGAAGGAACGTGCATCCTGCAGCGGTAACGACAAAAGCCTGCTCCCAGGTTAGCCTGGGAGCAGGCTAACCGCCGCCTGGTTAGCTCAGTTGGTAGAGCGCCAGTCTGCTGTGCGGGAGGTCGAGGGTTCGAGCCCCAGACCGGACCAACACTCAGGGTCTTAAAATAACTGAGGAGAATGTGCTGCCTTTGTAATTGTACCAGCAAATGGTTAGACATTCAAGTCTTCTCGGATAAGGACTATAAACCGTAGGCCCCGTCTCCTGCATCTTCAGTGTTACATGGTCAGCAGGGGACTAGTAGGGGGCGTAGTTCCCGGTGTGGTGGTCTATCTGTTGTTTCATTGTACATTTCATGCATGGGCTGGGTGGGTGAGTGAGATCAAATATGTGAGGGCCACAAGTTTATTAGCCTTTGGCTATTAAGTGCCACCCTCTTTAAATAAAATAAAGGCTTCACAGGCTAGATTGTAAATGTCCAAACCTTTTCATGAATTTAGGACTCTCTTTTGCCTCCTTTCATGAAATAGCAATGACAAGAAGCAAGCATTTCTTTCATGAGCTTAATGTGGGTGTACATACCTTGGCACCATTTGTACGTAAGGAGTGGAGGAGGTTCAGTGTCAGCTGGTTTGACCCATGGAGGAAACAGACGTCTCTTGTCTGCTTCATACCATAAATATTGGTCTAAGTAGGCATCTGTGATTTTCTCCAATGGCTCAACATCATATACTGGGATAAGATGGCTGTATAAGTCCATGAACTCAATACCAACCTGTAAGTGGTAAAACACCACACCATGAGCTGATTAATTTGTGACTCTCTCAATTATTTATTTTTTATTTATTCATTTGTGATATTTAGACAGACTGGCCCAGTTCAGCTATAAAGCTAGTTTAAAAGGGGGCCTGTATGAGCAATAACAAGGCCAGACTCCAACACCTGGGGCTACATTCCCTCCTCTTTGGAAGAAGTGTGTATGTTCTAAGCGGCACAGAGAAGATGCAGGACACCAAGTCTATCATTCTTTGTCCTTATCTGAGAACACTGAGAATGTCAAACCATTTGCACATGTCATGGCAAAGGCAGTACATTTTCCTATGATACTTGAAGACCCTGTGTATTATTTTGGCCTGGGGCTTGATCCTTCGCCCTCCTTTGCAACAGTCTAGCCTTGTAACTGTAAGCTAACCAGGAGGCAGTTTGGCCCAAAAATGGTTGGTGCTTTACCTCTTTAAAGGCTCTCTGTGTTAACAAATGACGCTTGATTCTGCTGAGTGCTTCATGAGGATTGTCATATGCTTGTTCAATCAGTCCCAACTCTTCTCTCTGGGACTGGTTCAAACGACTCTTTACGCTAAAAGTGATACACAAAATAGAATGTCAAGGAGGAAAATTTCACAAAATTAAACAAACTTTAATCACATGGAATCTGAAGACAAATGCTACACTCATCACACCTGTAGGCTTCCTTGAGTCTCTCCAGAGCTAGAATTAGCAATTTGGTGTCGTGCTTGTAGGAGAGGGGTGGGAAAGGGATTGGTGAGAACCTTCTGCTCTCCAGCCAGTGAACTGTAGTTGTGTAGATTGCAACTGCTTCCTCAGCAGAGATGTAAGGACCATCCTGTCAAACAAGAAAATTTGAGAAATTGCATATTTCTCTTATGAAAAGTTTTAGCTCCATATCCTATTGCTATGAGAAGTTATTCACATTCCTTCTGCATCAAGCAGCCTCTACTTCTCCTGGACATATCGTTTGTCTGCAACAGGTAACCTGACAGTTTGCCACATTTCCCTCGGTGTGCTGTTACCATGTATAATTATGGGTGAAGAGAAGCACCAAGATAATGCTCAGAACATTGACCCTCAATCATAAGGTCCTCATAATGAGAGGGTAAGTTTGTAAAGAAAGTGTGATGCTGTGTCAGTAGGGGGTATTACAAGATAATTTTGTTTTATTAACTGAGTTGATAATGTAAATTGGCCCTGTAGATGGTTTCTAATGCTGACATTTCCAGCGCTAACCCTTCATCAGATGTACTCTGTCTTCACAGACTCACAATGCTACATGTATGGTATACCAGATAGGGACATGACTACACCAAGGATTTCATTTGAGGAAAAATTAGTAAAACATCTGCAATGACTAAACGAACTGACTGAATTCATCAGATGTGCAGAAATATGCCAGGAGTATACTCAGTTTTTCACCGGTTAATGGATTGACTCTCTAGCACAATTCTGTGTACTCAGAAGGTAAAAATCTGTTTCAGAAATGGGTTGGAAGAATTGCATTCCCACAATATCCAAAAATATCAGATCTTTCTCAAGGAGAATGCCCACCTTCAAGTAGTTATGCTGTCTTTCCTGTTCAGCTTTGAGATAGAGTCTTGTCAGACGTCCAAGATTTTTCTTACAAACAGTTTTATCAACTGTGGCTCCACGACGGATACGTTCCCTGTTGTAGTGAGCTGTGTTTGTCCACCAATCAGCCTTGGCTTTGACATACCGCAAAATCATGTTCTCAACTGGTGTTGGAAGGCCAGGCACCTGATGAAACAAAACAATTTGGTCAGCTTTACCACTGAATGGCCAAAAGCAACATTTTACTTTCTCTTCTCCTTGTTTCATTTCTCCTTCGTCTATTTGAACAAATGCAGCAGAAAGGAAGGCTGTGTATTTTGCTTAACAGACCCATTTTTATGAACACATTTTTGCATACCAGGCTATTTTAGGTCAGTATCTAGACAACTCTCACAGATGGTTTAAGTAGAAGGGGAAAGAAGTATTATTTCTCTTCCTTAAAGGGAACCATACAAAAAGTGTTTTAATACTGTATTTTTGAAATTTTGCTCTACCACCATGACAGTTTATCTCCTGCATCAGAGGAGGCATTGTGAAAATTAATTGAACAGTATCATGCTTAAGAAAACATACCATATAAGAAGTGAGGCTAGAAATAAACTACCCTTATATTCTTCAAAAGTCTACCACTTCTCCCAGAAACAAATAAAACTAAAGCACTTGAACAATTCCTACCTTCCAAGGAATGTTGGCTTTCCAGCATCTCCAAGCTTCACTCAGATGCTGCAGAATGACTCGGGCCTTGTTCTGCTTAATACCTTCTGGCATCATGTCCAGGATGTCATGCATGACAGCTGCTCGTAACTCTAAATCAAAGTGGCTTTCCACTCTCTGCTTAGTTACTGTTTTGGCCACACCCTTGGAGTGTCTGCCTTCAAACTGCCTGGCTAGGAGGTTACCAAGCCAACGCTCTAAGAGAGGTACAACCCCACGCAGAAAAAATAGCCATACCCTCCAGCCAGGTGCCCAGAATCCACATCCCGGACCTTTCCCAACTGGTCCCTGCAACAAAGATATAACTGTTTTAAAAAATTTTAGAGTGCTAATATTTAGGATTTGTACCTTTTATTGGAAACAATTTCAAGGACTCTTTCAAGACTTCACAAATTCACATCAACCCCTCAAACTCTGAGTAGTGACTAAACTTTTCCCCATAATATCAAAATAGCAAGTGATGAGAGTAAAGAAAACATAAATGTAAAATGTCAACCACTTTAATTCAATACTGCAGTCCAAATTTCAGGACTTTCTGCAATCTGCAGCCTTTTAGCTGGACTTTCTAGTCCTGGAAAATTGCATTACAAAATTGCAGGATTGTCCAGGTATTTCAGGACCTGTACGAACCCTGAATATCATCTTCAAAGTAATAGTGGTATGCTTATTCAATATGGGATGGAGAAAGATACACCACACTTACGGTGTTAAATCTGTAGTAAATGAGATGTTTGATGTCTTTACACATTCTGATTTGTCTCATGAGCTTGTACTTGTATCTGTACATTCCAGTCAACTGACCAACATGAGCAAAGGTGTACTGAAGACCATCAGCAAGCTGTACACAAAATAAAGTTCACTTCACAATCAATACATGCATTAAAATTGTGACAAGTGAGTTATAAATGCCATATACTTAGTTCAAGTGCTATTAATAATAGTAATGAAAATGGAACTGGAATAATAGTGTAAGTTTAGTAGTCAACATTCCATGAGGTGGCTATTCTAGCCCACTGTTTCCAGGTCACATTGAAATTTGGAGTGTTAGCTTTTGTGGAAGGAGGAAAACCAGAGGACCTAGTGAAAAACTCTCCAGGCAAGGATGAGAAACAACAACAAACTCAACCCACATGTGACACCAGGTGTGGGTAGCGAACCTGAGCCACAGCATCGAAGGTGAGCCCTTTCACCACTGGGCCAACCCCCAAGCAGTTCTGTAAGCTGCCAGGGTTATCAACATTGAAAGTGTGTTGTGGGAGTAAGAGCACAGAGTAAGAGAGATAAGCAACTTTTAAAATGGTGGTTGAGTAAAGAAAGATGTAAAGCAGTTTAATATCATAAGCCAGAGACAGAAATTTTTTTACTCTTCAACCAAATCAGTGAAAAAAGCACCACATCTATCTTTATTATATGATCATGTCTTAAAAGTTAACATCTTGTGCAATCTTGAAGAGACAACAGTGTCCTCCTTTTAAAGGCAGCAACTGGTAAACATTACTGCCTGTGGTACCTATTATTGTTTTCCAAAATTGCTTGAAATTCTTGAAAATTTAACCAATAAAAGGATTGCTCTACCAGAGCAATCCTTTCTTTACTTGTCCTACTCAAAATAAGGGAGAACACAGAGACAACAATTAATTTTCTGGACTTACCTGAAAACTGTCTACATTACCCAGTCTGTACTGCACATGGGAATCTACAACTAGCTTTGTGAGTCGCAGAATCTCCCGACAAAGATGGAAAGCATTTCCAAATCTGGACTTCTTTCTTTCCTTTGTGGTAAGAGTTTTGACTGGTTTCAGATTGAAATTGTAATCCAAATGAAGGTAGTTCAAGTTCTTTCTGTGGATCAGTAGATTCAGCATGTTGTAGCCTTGCCGGCACACTTGGAGACCCACTTCCACCCAATCAAGAGTTGTCGTTTGAAAGAACTTTGTCGCTTTGAAGGATCGGAACAGATATCTAAAAACCACAAATGAAGAAAATTCATTTCTCTGTTTGCGTCTTGAACTCAAAATATTGTGAACTCTTGAAATATTTATCAAATGTGAACAATGAAAAAGCCAATCACATATTTTTCACTAAATTGTATGCAATTAAAAAAAAATTATAAGAGCACTAAGAACGCTGCAAGAATTTAAAAACGCTTTACATAAAGTAGATATACAAAGTTTAATCTCTTCGAATAATTGCAAGAACTGTATTTTATGTAGATCTTAAATATTTTAAATATTATCAAGATCATATTATTGTAATTATTGTTATCTTATTATCTCATTATATTAAGGTTATTATCTTATTATACAGGGTTATAAACATGGGGTCTACTATTTCGGGGTAGGGTGGTTTTATATGGGAAGAGCTCTTTTATCATATTCCAATAAATTTTTAATGCATAGTTTTATATAGATTAGATTAGTTTAGTTTAGGTGTCCTTACTTAGTGGGAAACTGCTATCTTATTTGACACGTAAATAAAGTTTATTATTATTATTATTATTATAGTTACAGTAAGTAGTTTGTAGTTTGTCTCTGTTTACTGATTTTCCAAAAAAGATTTAGAGAAAGTGACCTTGTGGGGTGCTTTTAGGATGTGTCGTAAACCCGTTGCAAAGTTGACCACAACAGTGAGGTTTAATTGCTCAATTTCTTGGTAATAGACTTGATACAATGGCAACAGTCAAAATGAATAAGAGAACAAAATTGGACAAATTGTTATATTGCTGCAAACAACCACAGATAAAAAAATAAGCAAGTCTACCTTTTCTTTTGTGCTTTAGGTGGTCTGTGTTTCAGTGCATTCAAAACATAGCACTTAAGAAGCTTTTGATATGACACTCGCACCTTAACTGGGTGAGCCGATGGACAGTGTTCACGATACCTGTATAAAATTAACAATAAAGGGGACAAGTTTCTAAAGAAAATGTGTTGCTGTATCAGCGGGAGAGAATAACAGGGTAATCTAATATTATCAACTGAGTTGAGGACATAAACCAAAAAGAGTTTCAAAGCTGGCATTTCGAGGGCTAGCCCTTCATCAGGCTAATACTTGAAATGTCAGCTTTGAAACTCTTTACAGAGGCCAATTTATGTAATTAACTCAGTTGGTAATACTACATTACCCTGTTATAAATAACAATACTTAAGGTTATACTTGATGTGCAATATGTCCTATACAATTTCAAAATCCTCCAATCAATAAGCAAGAACAAAAGGCTTGTAACAGTACATCATCCCTTGGACTGATTTCCAATTATTTAACAAAGTACTCTTAAAAGCTGAGGCCTTAAAAAATAATTGACATTTTAATAATTATTTGAGTCCAAAAAAAAAAAAAAAAAATTACCACAAGACAAAACAACCCACACCTGAACACAACATTTACATTTTTGTATTACAGTATGGGAATTCTTACCAAGTCTTCACCAATGGTATATCGATGGCTCGGCGTGTCCTGGCAGATCTTAAACAGAATGGTCTGGGAGCCCAGAGCAAAGCAATACCTTAAAAGATAAACCACCAAAACATTTTACAACTGTAAAAGCAGCCTTTGTAAAACAAATTCTAACAACTTGGGAATTGAAAAATAGTTTTTAGCTAAACAAAAGTAGTACTAACCATTTGCTGTGTTATCTGTGTACAGTGGTGTATCTTGCAAGAATGGCTGAATATCTTCAGGCAGTTCAAAATCTTCATCATCATCAGGCTGGGGTTCTGTTGTCTAAATCAACAAAACAATTGATATAAAATTTTCACATACTTCCCCCAGAGTGTATTACTAGAAATTGTGCTTTTGGTCATTAGACTTTAGTAAGTAACCTCTGTGTAACTTCTTCAAGAAGGTGGATGCCTAGGACATCCACAGACTTCCACTAGGGCCAACAATAGAGAACTGCCTCCATGGCTGGGGAATCCTTACAACCTTACCATGAGCCCCATATCAGACACCATAACACTGATTGCATACATGGAAGGAAAAAACTGGGAGGGGTGGGCATTAGGAATGCTTCAAAACAGCCACTACTATAAATGCCTTGGGCCAGGTTGTTCAAAGCTGGGTTAAGATCACCCAGGGTTATTATGAAATTTGATTTCAAAGAAAATTAAGTTTAATTATTTTTGTCTTCTATTTGATTTTTGAATGTTCTAAAAAGAATAGAGAAATTATCTGAAAAGGACTTTTGAATGGAGAAATAAAGAAACCTGGATTTCAATTTAACCCTATGTCAATGCTAATCAGCATTTGAACAACTAGATCCAGGACTGCAGAGGAACAGCTGCTGCCAAACTGGTAAAGAACTCCATAGAATTGTTACATTGGCATTACCCAAATTAAAAGAAAATGTGAATTATACGACAATTTGTCACTGCAAATTTTGTTTCTAGCTTCTCAACAGTCCACTCCATTTTGTTTTAGACAGACCATTTTAGGACAAGAGCAATCATGAAAACAGCTATTGTCAATGATTTGGACCAAGGTTTCCACCTTCTTCGTGAAACTCCTTATTTGAATTCTTGTAAAGAAGTATCATTAGAGTCACCCAGATGATTACAAAGTGTTTAAGTTTCAAATAGCAAAAAAGCAAAGCAAAGTACCTTGACAGCATGTCTGTGGGCGATTGGATTGACAAGAGGGTCAAAGTAAAATGCTGGTAGATCCGGGTCCTCTGTTTTAATGTAAACAACTGATGGATGGTGATACCTGACAAAAACAAAGACTTGAGTTTGAGATAAATCTCCCTGGTTTATAATTGTGCAACACCAACTGATGAAGCAACATTCACCCATCTTGTATGGCTATCACTTCCAAAGAAAGACACACTATTTGACCACTCATTGCTGGTCTTCCATACGCTTACAGCTTAAAGAATAACCAGACATTTTATTAATCTAAGATTACATATATTGTGCCAATAACAAGGTAGCTCTCCTTTTTTATTTAAAGCTCACACAGTAGTAACTGTGTTTATGAGGATTATATAACTTCATTAAGGTAACTGAGAATTAAGTTCTGGCATTTTGCATTCTGTTCCTATATTACACATGTGTTTGGATCAAAGAGCAGTCTATAGCTGCTTCATCTATAGACTTGCAGCAGTAACTTGAACCACTTTTTTTTTAGCCACCAATCCAAACAACAATCAACATTCTTTAAGCAATGCTGTTACCCGCATCTGGTGGCAGAGGGTGACAAACATCCAACAAGTTCAAGTATCCTTATGGTTGGCTCATAACAGGAAACAAGACCCTTAAAGATCAGGAGACAACTGATCACGAAGTCAATATCTTTGTGAAAGTAGTATGAAGACAGATTTTTATATAAAAAACCAGTCACCCAAATTTCAAAATGATTTAAATTTGTCCATATGATGATGGGGAGAAAATGTGTCACTGCAACTTGATTTGGAAGCAGTTACTCAGTTTTCCTACCTATGAGTTTTGTGTACAGTAATTTTCATGCATTTAATCCTTCACATCCTTACATCAGTATGCATATTCTCCATACTGCTCTTTATTCATTTCCTCATATGCTGACAGGGAAAACAAGATCTTGTAAGGAGAAACTAGACACTAATCACTCTTAGGGGGTCTAAGGGTTAACCAACTCACCAGGGTAGATGCACTTTGTATGGCAAACTGTTGAACAGATAAGGGAATGCAATTCTGTACTCTGTCCTCACGGGCTGCCGAATGATGATCTTGTTTATGTCATTAAATTCATTCCAGTCTTCGTCGTGGACATTGACATCTCGCACCAAAGGCTCAAATTTTGGTCCTCCAGGAATGGCAACATTCAATGCTTTAGCTGTGAAAAATGCCTTCAGATCATACAAGTAAAAGTAGTTTTTATCTACAAGATCTGTCAGAAGTTGGTTTCCCAGACGATAAAGTGTAGACATGATTGGCAGTGTAATATTCCATTTTCTGTATGAAGATCCATTGACCATTCTAAAAAGAAAGCAGGATGTTATGAAAAAAGTAGTATGGCTTATCAATTAACCATTGCTGGCTATACAATTCTTGTGATGTTTGTTTGGAGAATTTGGTATGGTCCAATCAATGATATCCTAACTAATATTTTACTTCTTCAAATCAATTTTCTGCTTGATTTTGTATTGATGTTTTAAAGAGAAATTCTGCATTAGTCCTGCATGAGACTTAAAAGGTTAAGTCATAAATCAGAAAAACTACTGATACATGGGTCTAGAACTACACCTCTACAGAAGATCAGGTCACATTCTACAGTTTCCTGTAAGGGAAAGAATCCAACAAACTATACCCAGGGACAGCTACTTCCTTAGGTTTCAGTTCTTACAACGATCACAGAAATACAAAGTCCTTACTTGGTATCTACCAGGGGATTGTGTTCATAAAACCACTCATAAACACTTCCATCTTCTTCAGGATCCAACTCCATCTGGATCGGCTCAAGAGGTTCAACATCCAGGATATTATCAGCATAATCCAGAGGAGGTTCCTCATCATCAAATGGGGGAAACCTCATTCTCTTGAAATGTCTCCTGTCTCTCTTCTCACGACGCATCATGATCCACATGGTGCTAAATCAAGGAGTAACATCCAGTTTTACATTTTATGAGTCATGCCAAAGAGAGAAATTGAACAAAATAGTCCCTACTCAAGTTGGCATAATTAGCTAAAAATTACCCCAAGCCTTCTTTACATGAAATTTTCCTCCAACCTTTGTAACACTCTTTGATTTAACAAAATTATTTTTTGGTCTTGATACTTTGAAAGTGTTTTGTTCAATAGATTTAACAGTCCCCACCTTGATTGTAATGCTATAAAGTAAATTAATTACCTTTTCTTACCTACATACAAATATACACCTACAATATAGGGGCAATTATTTAAACACAAACATGACAGTGCTCTGAACTGCTACCATTTCTGTTCCCATGGCAAGTAGAAAAAAATGTTGGTAATTAACTTTAAATGATTATGGTCTTGAGTTGTGAGATGCACCTCTGCATGAAAAATTCCATGATGTTACAAAAATTATCCTTCATGCTTGTTTTTGAGGGAAGCTACAATGTTCCTGGATATTTTCCAAGAGTTTGTTTCTTCCCTTTTCTATATATATTTTTGACAACTATTTATTTAAAGAGACCTTTTAGCTCACTAGAAAGAGACTTGAGCTTGGGCTCAAACTGAAAATTTACATATACTTTTTTGACACAGCTTTCAAGTAATACTATTTTGAACTTACCCCCACTGGGCCAAATAGACAGGTTCCACAACCCATGGAATCTCATTCACAAATGTGATGGCTCCTGTGATGTGATAAAGAACTTTCACATCTCGAATCTGCTCCCATGGCATGGGCATGTTCTCGAGTAACTTCAGCACTGCATGAGGCATGTATTTCAGTGCACTAAAATTTCAAACATAAGAAGTGCATTGATACATGTTATCATTGAGAGAATGTAAGTGTGACAATTTTAACATTGTATAAGTAATATTGCATTCAGGTTGATAACTTCAGTTTTCTTACCCTAAGTATACTCGCTTATCATGCCGATATTTCCTGCTGGACATGTCACCATGATCTCGAATGATCTTTCTAACATGCTCTGGAGGCATGTCTTCTTTTTGTGCTTCCACAAATCCAAACTTTCTCTTTTCGCTGTATCTTTTTGACTGAAGTTGTTGCCATTTTCGAGCTGCAGATATTTTGGTACAAAAGCAAATGTATCAGAATTGATGTTTTAAATAAAATGTGGGAACTTCATTGTTCAGTGATGACAATTTTTTGTGTCCTTCACATTCCACCTGATTTTACATGATACAAGTATGTGATCTTTGTTCATAGTTCAGTAAAATAATCTGGAAAGAATCTTGAACATTCAATAATCTGACATGGTAAATAATAAAGTAAAAGTCTACATCATGCATTCAAAAGGTTTAGTTGTTGAGCATCTTGTAATCTTGTGTTGACCTTAGTTAACTACTGTATTGAAATAAGCCAGTTTACAGCCATAATAGTGTTTCAAAAAGAATTAATGGACTACACAGACACTGTAGCTCCAGAAAGAAAGAACCAACAACGACGCAGTAGAAATTCGAATCTTAACAGTAAGTTTCAAATTTGTTGTAATAGTGACACAATGAAATCTGTATGAATGAACCCTGACGATTCAATTTACTCAAAGTTCAATCAGAGTAAAACAACGAAAAAGCAAGACAGCCTTAAAATCAATCTCAGCTACCCTAAGAAGAGACACGGGTAATTTTGGAAAACCTCTAAGTGACATTTGATCACGTTACATGAGTTCACTGATCGAATGTCTGACAACGCGAACATAACGTTAAAGTGAATTTCTGATTAGAATCTAGGGTTATGCATTCGAGCATGCACATTAAACCAAAGAATCAACTCTTAGAACAGTCAAGCTACATTACCTTTTTCCTGTAGTTTTTCTTCAGTTATTTCAGCTGGTAACCCTGCAACGGCAGGTTGGCCCCACGCCGCCATGCTGTCGGTTTCGCTGCAGATGAAAGCCTTCAAACGCAATTGCACGAGGAAATAGGTTATAACCCGCCAAATAAAAAGCATGGCTTAATTCAAATTTAAACTACAAGACCTTCAATTACCTGAAAAGAAGTTCGCGTTCTTTGCAAATTGGAAGAAAAGCTCGACGCAGACGTTCAAACTACGAAGCATGCACGGCTGTCCGCCATGTTGTAACGTCACAACCCTGCTTCAGAATGAAGTGAGGTACCCCCCAAATACCTTTTCTCCCAGCAAGGCCTGGTAGCGAGGCTTTACTGAAAACTCCCACAACTCTCCACGAGCTAATTATTTTGGTAGCGCATGCGTTCAACCCGTCTGCCTTATCCGACGTGGCGTTTGGACAAAAGATAGTTTCATGTGGACCTCTTAATAATTACAGAAAACTGTAGATAAACTTTAGGGACAAATATGGCTTTTATACCTTTATTGTTATGTTCGATGTTACTGGTGCTTCAGTTGGAGAGCTCGTATGGTTATTTTATAACGATAGATGCACACGCAGAGGAGTGTTTTCATGATCAAGTAACATCAGGAACGAAGATGGGGCTTATATTTGAAGTAGCTGAGGGTGGCTTTCTGGATATCGATGTTACGGTAAACATTGAAATTTTAAGCCTATAAATGCTCCAGAAATTTTTATTTTTAACCACGTTAGATATGTTTCAGGGGTAGCTCATGACTCAGAAACAGTAAAATGTGTTCATCCGCAGCGTAAAGCAATCGTAAAAATCGTTTCCTTAATTCTTATTAATCCGAGTGTCATGCAGTGTTGAATTTCTGCAGAACTCTCAGAGTCAATGTAAACAGATTCAAGTTCCATGTCTGTTGAATATTTGAGCTCATTTTAATAGGTGACAGTTATAGCTCATCTTCAACTTTCATTAAAAGGAAGTTTTAGTTCAAATATTTGTTAATGCTTACAAGTACACTAATGTTCTCTAGAGAATAGTATATGTGTAGGTGTTGAACCTGAACTCACTGTCAGGTTCATATCCTACAAAACACATAAGCAGTGCATCTTTTGAGTTTAAACCATACTTACACTGCAAACAAAAACCTTTGAACTGAAATTAATACAAGGACAGCGGAGGTGGACAGGAGTTAGGTTACATGCCTCAATCTCCCCCACAGAAGCTCCAATCAGCACCGAACTGTCAAACTGAGCCTAGCAAAACTAAATTTTGTACTACTATCTCAACCTTAGAAAATTTTGAATCAGCCTTAGTCTCAACAAATATTGACTTTCATTGTAGGTTTCCTTTAACTTTTGTAAGTAGTGATTTTGGTAGGTTGATTTGTATCACCAGTTTGAATTATTTAGAACAAGAACATAACATTTAGATACAACTTAATGAATGTGGAAAGTCACCCTAGAAAGGAATACTTGAGATTCTTCATCAGCTTCAAAAGGATACCTCACCCTTGTTGTATTATAATACACACATGCAGACTTGTCATAAATTTAGTCAAGATGTTTTGATGATTGTTTTTTGGACATTACAGATTACTGGTCCAGACCAAAAGGTTATTTACACAGGAGAGAGGGAGACCAATGGAAAGTATGCATTTGCCGCATACATGGATGGCACTTATCATTACTGCTTTAGCAACAAAATGTCTTCAATGACACCAAAAATAGTAAAGTTTTCCATGGATCTGGGAGAGCCACCTAAGGACACCAGTAAAGAAGAAGGTGAGTGGAGTCAATAAAATTGAGAGAATTCAACAATTGCCACTGGCAAGTTATGGAAAAAAATTGAATAACCACAAAATGGATTAGAACCTGGGTTAGTCACACTTTCATGACTGAATGATCTGCCAACTGTGCTTCAGACAACTCGTCACCAAGGTTGTCATTAGAAGCCTGTAGTATGTGGAAACCTGCCAACTGTCACACCATTTTACACCAGCTACCTTACCGATTCTGATCAAAGACAAAAATTTGTCGTTTTTGGGCTGATTCAAACATCAATATCTGGGTAAAGTCAGTTACTCAGATATATCCCACAATGCTGGAAATCACATCTCAAAAGAGTTTGTGAATATTCCTGGGGCAGCATGCCCCTACATTTCCCCTTATTCAAAGAAAAATATCAATGCTGTGAGGCTGTCTTCCCTCCAACTAACACATGTGTGGTGCACTGAATATAAATGTTAAGTTTCCAAGGATTACTAAAATTTTCTTATCTGAGCGTTAAGAAATTTTTCTATTATTTTCACAAGGTGCAAATCATGATAAGCTTAGTGAAATGATTGGACAATTGTCTGAGGCAATGACTGGAGTGAAACATGAACAGGAATACATGGAAGTTAGAGAAAGAATTCACAGAGCAAGTGAGTATATTGCATCAGGTGAATATTCAGTGGATTTATTTGTTAGATTTATAATTTTGGTTTCTTTGTATCTTCCTTCTGCAGTCAATGACAACACAAACAGCCGCGTTGTTTGGTGGTCTTTCTTTGAGTCCCTAGTGCTGGTTGCTATGACGCTAGGACAAGTTTTCTACCTCAAACGATTCTTTGAAGTCAGAAGAGTGGTTTAAGTTGTAACATTGATTTTTTAGCAAAATTCAAAAACTGTATTGTACAGAGAGATATGAGGTACAATTGTGTTCACAAAGTAAAGCAAATTTACTTTTTCAAAAACCAGTAACAACTATTCGTATAACACAATTTTCCTTTTCTTTATTGGCTTTTTGATACTTTGCCAATGTAGAAACTTTTTTTTGTTTTTTTTTTGAGTCAAGGACTGTCATTTCAAACACTGTTCACTGTAGTGCAACAAACTATACTGATGAATGCTCAGTTGTTATGGAGAGGACAACAATTCCCATTACTGGTTATCCCATAGTGTTCCTTAGATGATTAATTGAGACCCAAAGCCAAGGGGTTTGAATTTTAACCAAGATCTGGTTATTTAAATGGGGATAAGCTATCATTAAGTGAAACTGTCTTCCAAACCATTTTCAATTTAGCCAAAATAATGTTGAATGAAACCATTGATTTTCTATGAACTGTGATAATTGCTGTGAGGCTTTCACTAGACATAAACACTCATCGACTTCACTCTTATAGCAAAAAATATTGTGGTCCATTGATTGTCTAAAACTGCCTCTTTAGTTTTTGTGCAGACTTGCATGGTTTAGGGTGAAGTTCAGGAAAATTATAAATTACATTTCCCTTAAAAAAGCCACAATGTCAAGAGGACTGCTTTTCCTTTAAGCTCTTCCTTTTGGTGTTTACAAATTGTATCAGAGAGACATCTTGAGTAGAAACCAGCCTTTGTCTAAGTGAATCCACAGATCCTTTCTCAACATGTTGTAGAAAGCTTTTGTCTCCTTTTTAACTTACATGTAACTGTTGTTGGAATTAAATAAAGGAAATTGTCATCCTTAAAGCCTTGAACCCCTAAGAGTGACTGGCATGTAATTTCTCCTCACAATGTCACCCCTGTATCAAACACAAAAGTCACAAGATTAAGGGAAATGATCAACAACCAATGAGTTCTTAACTTCCAAACAAATTCTCCTTTTCAGCTTCTCAAGAGATGTATAGAGAACAGTATGGCGAATATGCACACTGATGTTAGGGTGTAGATGGTTAAGGCTGATTTTTCTGGTGGATATTTGTGGTAGTTATCTTTAAATATGAATAATCGCATGACTTTGAGTGCAATTTGAGATAAATCATCTTGCATAAATCTTTGAAAGGCTAACCAAATTGCACAACCTCATAGGGCATGTCCAACTTGCAGTCTTAGAAAACTGCACATAGCCAGCAGTTGAGGCATCTTCTTAGGGTAAGTTGAAATTACAAGCTTGTGATTGGCCTGCAGTGGGAGTTCCTATGGGTGACTGTTATCACAAAAAATACAAGGATGTCAGGTAAATCAGCAAGCACAATTGTGATCTAGAGGTCAGTTGCAGAATGGAAAACTAAAAACTATATCTTTTGGCAAAATCACTTTTCTTTCCTTTTTTCAATGATCTTATCAGTCAAAGAAAAATAAACTGAAAGACAGAGAGGACAATTCATGACAAGAGGGTTATTTCATAATTTCCAATTTCTTTAAGGGGGTTGCTCTGGCTGGTCTTTGAGTCAGTAAATAGAGATTAAAATGAAATTATTTTTTAATGCATTATTTTTTACAGAGTGGACAAATAAGAACAACATTATTTTGGTTTGTTCAAGTGAGCCTTCCATCGCTTTGAATAGGGCAATTTCCTCCACTTTTTTCTCTTCTTCTTTGGTCTAAAATCTGTAAGAGATAAGATATGAGAAATTTGTGAAACATGGCACAAGAAATAAGTAATGTCTTGGTGTTTTACCTCTGCAAGAACATCAAACATTTCTTTTGTGATAATTTTACTGACTCAAAAGTGTGAACTACCCTATGTCATCGAGGCATGGACAATGCCAACTAAAATTTGAAAAATATCACCATCCTCCAAGACACTCAATTAAAAACAAATGTAAGTAAAACAAACATGAGTAATTTACACCCTTTGCATGATACTGATTCGCTAATTTTTTTGGTTAATTTTGGTTCAAGGGTTTTTGGGTAAAACTGCTGGCCCAGGGTTTTTTTTTCCTAACCATTAGCCTGAACCATGAAACAAAACATGGAACCAAAAAAAAAACTAATAAGTGAAATAAACACATTAACATAAGGAAGATGTTTGCATAATGCCAAAAAGGGGACAAAACTTTATGCAAGTAAACTGGTCCTCTTCAACATCTTGATATGTCTCCCAGACGTTGTTCAAATGCCTAAATTTTTGTTTACCATTCTAACAACCACTTACCTAAATAATATGTTTCTGGTGGTATAACTTTCTTGGGTTCACTCAGTATGACACCTCCTTCCTTAATGGCTTCTGAGAAGGCAGTGGTCTGCACAATGGAAATAGAAGTACCATTTGATTGTCACATCATCCACCAATAACTCTCTACCTTGGATTTCCTGAAATCCCTCATCACCCACACAACTTCTCCCAATAATTTCAATGCACTCTCCAAATTTCAGTCAAAGAGAATGGACAAAGCTGTTAATTGGAGAGTGTTAGCTGATATAACACCAGATTCTCTTAACTAATTTACCACAAAATGTATTGAACCTGGAAGGGAGAATTATGAATTAGATCTTTGGCGCAAGCCCTTAGATCCCCAGAAGTACAGAGGGCAAAAAAGAAATTTCTCTCCAATTTCTTTCTAATGACAAGAAAGAAAAAACTTCAGTAAGAGGATATTCTTTGTCTTTGCATGAACACTTAGCTCTCAGGGCCATATGTAATCTCTGTAAGACATTTGTTTCCATCAAATAAATTCCCTTCCACTATTAGCTTTACCACTGTTCACTAAAATAAATGTTAAGATAAAAGTTTTGGTTAAATTGAAGATGGCATAAAATGCATTTTTGTTAAACAACAGCTAAACTTTGTTTACATGCATATAACCAGCCCTCAGAGTCAAATTATTAGAAACACATGACAAACAATGCAAATAATTTATTTGTAAATCCTCAGAGTGACAGGGTTCAAGGGTGAAGAGGAATAGAAAAATATCATAAAATTATGGTAAAAAAAATACCTGCAGCACAAAAAGAATAATGACAATTTTAGGACGATATATCAATTTTAGCAGCTTCTGTTACCCTTTGTTTGCGTAAGCCCCCTTTCATAGCTTCCCATCGCACACTTGTTATTCCTGCCTCTAGACATCTCTGTGCAATAACTCTGCCAATATTCCTTGCAGCAGTAACATCTGTAGTTTTGTACAGGTGTCGTGTGATTTCAAACTCAGTGGTGGATGCGGACACCAGCACCAATCCACTGTTATGCACCACCTGAGCTCTTGTATGCCGGTTTGTTATTAAGAATTGAAGTCTGTGGATGAAGAAAACACAAGAATGATTTCACAATATCCTTATGAGTAGAAGTACCCACACTCCCTGAGATAATTAACGCAGAAAATGTCATCCACTTGAACTGAGTAGGCCTTCAGCATCATTTAATCACGTAATCTTTTGTTCTTAGATGATATTAATCAGCCAGTTTCAAGTTCCTCGGGAAATTCCACAATTTAACTGATGATGACCGCCAGAAGCCTCACATACCACCGATTGAATTTTTACCACAATTGGCAGTAATGTAGTGATCTGATTGATCAATTTACCGTTGTCGATAGGAGTACAGACAACGCTGCTTGCGTCAAGGTGTCACGATCTTGGTCACGAAGTAAAACGAATCAGTTTATTTGACAACGATATTGTAGTAAAAAGCGAATTGACAGTGGTCGAGCGTGGTCTGTACTGTTAGCAACAACGATATTCGTTAACACACTGAACCACTGTTGATTTGTTGAATCGACACACAGAGCTGCAGTATTAGATGAAGCAAACTTACTTGTTGTAGAAATCAACCCTGTAAACTTGTGTAGAATACCCTCTTGGTTTGTTGAATCCAAAATATTCTTCGTTTCGAGGATTTCTGTTCTCAAATTCACCCAAAATTGGAATTTTCGTTTTTTGGGGGTCACTATTTTCAGTCGCCTCATCGACCTCTTTCACTTGACTTGCCGCCTTAGAAAAGTTGCACCTAGAAATGCAACAAATATTTCTTGATATAATCTTTAGGTTGATCTCCTTGTAGTTTAAAAGGCGGCGTCCAACTAATGGTAAATATGATGGAATTAGAGCTCGTGTAAGGCACTTAGTCGCCATGTTGGCTAACCCGGTGCGCACGCTCCTAATCATTATTACACAACATACTAAATTAAAAACTTCTTCCACCGCTGGTAAGGGTAAACAGAGAAAATTCACGTGGAAGTTTAGCGAGTCCACCAAAGAGACAAAATGAGGTAACTTACTCCTTGTTTTAAGTTATATCTTGCGCATAACACTGTCTGCCTGTCACCTAACTTTTCTATCTCTAAGATCCGATGAATAATTCTCTCCTCTACGTTATGTAAATGTAATCCGCGATCAGGCGTTCTCGCTGATTGAACATGTCAAATTTCCTATGTGAAAGAAAGCCTGATCGCAGATTCTCGTATCTTAGTCATCGAGACTAAGTGTTATATCAAGATTCTCCAGCTTAGGGGTTTTTCTACGTTTTCGTCAATGTTCCCTGCGGCCAATGTAGTGAAATAGTTTTGGAAATCGAGGTTCATGCAAATAACTTCTTTGAGTTAAAGGTCGTAAAATTTTGGGGTCAAGTTGTTCTGGTGTGAAGTGCCCTCCATTCATAAACTCATCTAGCAAACTATGATTGATGCCACTAAGAAATTAAAACTTAACTTGAAACACTAGCCTGCCAGTTGGTGGGGCCAACCAGTCACAGTAAACAAAATAGCTTTAGTTAAGTTGACCAATCACAACTGCATAAACTAACCAATCACAATAGTGCATCTTATTCCATATGAAGATGGATTAAAGCATTGATTCCCATTAGCATGTGTCTGTTTACTCTTTCAACTATTAGTGGTTTGGGTCAATTTTTGGCCCTCTGTCTGCTGGCTATCGGTAATGTTTCAGGAATGTGTCAGTATCATGTTGGTTGACAGGTTACAGACAACCGAACATGGGAGCTATTGTTCACATTTACTCAAAAATCATGATTCTTTGTCAGAGCTGACTAGATTATGACAAACATGATGATAATATAATGAGGATGTAATGTTGGTACAGTTTGAAAAGAAATTAGCCAAGGGTAGTTTGATTTTGAAAGAGAGATTTAAGCTTTCTATTAAATATAACCATCTTTAATTACCCTTTCACAGTGAAGGTAGCCGTATTCTTGCGCAATTCAAGAGTGAGCTTGGAGAGCTCATTGGTACACCATTTGACCTTCCTCTTGATATTACTCCTGATAAATTAGAATTAGTCTGCAATGCAGTACTGCAAAAGGTAAGATGTTTGCTATTTACCACTTGAGCACTGTTGCATATGTGGATTCTCTTGACTTATTCAAATTTTAAGAATAAAAATATCATAAAGCCCTTATTGGAATAATAAAAAAAAAATGTCATTGAATGATTTAGTGAATGATTAGTTATCATTATTACTTTAATGTTCCTTGGGGCTCAATTTTTTTTTTGATTTGTTTTTTTCATTACCTCAGGATGAAAGCGTACCTTACTCTTTCTATGTGAATGAGTCAGAAATTACAGGCAGTCTCAAGGAAACATTAGATACCCAAACACTAGAAACAGAGAAAGTTGTAGAGATTGTGTATCAACCCCAGGCTGTATTTAAAGTTCGAGCTGTGACAAGATGCACCAGCACAATTCCAGGTAAAATATTTTAATCTAAGTTTGTCATTACTGTTCAAGAAAATAAATGACGGTCTCTATATATCCTGAAAACATTGCAAAATAATTTTCTTTAAGTGATTTTTTTGGGCTTTTTTTTAAGATAGAATGTTTTTCAAACTTGGTAAAAATATAGCTTTATTTTTTGTCTGTGTTAGGTCACTCTGAGGCTGTCATTTCAGTGTCATTTAGTCCTGGTGGCAGGTGGGTTTAGTGTTGAAACATGACATTGTAGAGTATTCATAGTCCAAGTTACTCCTCTCAAGCCATTATTACTCTACTTTGACTGTCCTTTATTCAGTGATCAAGATAGTATATTTACCTTACAATACTTGTGATTAGTTATTTTAGGAAATCTAAGTAATCTTGGTTTGCTGTGAGGATTTAACCCTTTAACTCCCAGAAGTGATTAAAATGAAACTTCTCCCCATGATATTTATACATTATTCAGCAAACAGGTGATGAGAGCACTCAAACGTATCAGTTAGAAGTTTTTATCCAGGTCTAATACCAAATTCCCATAACTAATTTACAAGGAAATGTGCAGCACCTAGAAGAGAGAATTTATAATCAGATCTTGGGGATTAAAAGGGTTAAACCATGGTCCTTCTAATTCTATGACCCAGTGCTCTACTTCTAAGTTACAAAGAACTGGGGGGCAAGGAAAGTTAAAGGTATTGGTTTACAGGGCTGATATAATTATTTGACTAGCATCCTGTATTCTGCCTTTGAGGATTAGCAAATCCTGTGTGGAAATTTCAGAAGATGGTGCGTTTTGAGTTCTCTTGTGAATAAGAAAGACAAGAATTCTTTTTTGTTTTGTTTTGTTCCGTTTTTTTTCTTTTTATTTATACATATTTATAAATCCTTCTTAGATATTTGGCAAGTGGTTCAGGAGACACAACTGTTCGGTTTTGGGATGTGAACACAGAAACACCTCATTTTACTTGTAAAGGTACTCACCCATCATTGAATTTTCATCCCTGTAACAAATGTTGTTGAGATTTTTCCATATCAAAGTCCTAGTGCTTCAGATTTTTATTTGATGTTGATGAAAGTCAAAAACCTTTTGAACAGTGAAGTGGTGATGTACAGACTTTCAATCATTGATTTATTCTTGATAATTATTTTTGAGGCCATGCACACTGGATTTTACATATAGCGTGGTCTCCAGATGGGAAGAAGTTAGCTTCCGGCTGTAAAAATGGCGAGGTAAGAATGTGATTTTCAATTGCTAATTAGAGTATTAAGAGTCTGACAATTTGGAGTTCTATTTTTAACAAATTTCATTTTTTTAGTTTTAAATTTTCCTCCTTTACTTTAATCTGTTGTCTGTGTGAGTATCACAGTAAATGTATACAATATCTAAAAAGCTCCAAAGCTTGGACAAGAGAATTGGAAACTCAGTGAGGAGAAGTTAGGTATAGAGGAGAGGATATTCCTCTGTCTGGGTTTTATGTTCAAGGCAAGCTTGTTTCCTCTCACATAAATCTTTGTCTGGAGTATTACATGAAACTTGACCCTTGAACCTCTAAGAGTGACTAGCATCTAGTTTCTCTGTACAATATCACCCCTGAATCACACATCAAGGTCATGAGAATAAAGGAAATGATCACCAACCAAACCAAAGCTCTTGATTATTAAACTAACTCTCTCTGTCAGCACCTTAGGACATGTATACAGAACAGTATGGAGAATATTCACACTCATGGTTGGGTGAAAAGGGTCAATAAATTGTCTGCTTTATTTTTAGATTAGAATATGGAACCCTGTGAATGGAAAGCAAATAGGAAAGACTTTGAAAGGTCATTTGCAGTGGATTACTTGGCTCAGCTGGCAACCACTTCATAGGTACAATGTTTTGAGTAGTTGTTACTTTAAAAAAAAAACAGAGAATGTGATATGTTTGTGACTGGGGTTCAAAGTTTTTCTGGTTTAACATTTTTCAAACCAATTTGACTTTAACCCTTTTTCTTTTAGTGATTATGTAATCTGAAACAAAGGCAAAGTATTTGTTGCCCAATTTTATATAATTAGGAGACCAAAGCAAAATTGAATTAATAATATTGGTAAAAAGAAGAGTGGTATTTTGACAGAGCAAATCAACAAATCAATACATACTTTTTCAACCCTTTATTTCCCATGAGTGACCAAGACAGAATTTCTCCTTACAATATCAATACAATATCAAGCAGAAAATTGATGAGAATAAAGAAAAATCTTAATTAGGGGATTATGAGTTGATCCAATACCAAATTCTCCAAACTAACATCACAAGAACTACGTGGCAGAAAGTTAGGAGAATTACTAATGAGATCTTGGGAGTTAAAGGGTTAATACCTTTTTCTGTCCACCACTTAGTTGTGGTAATAAAGGCATATATAATGGCATGCTGGTAATTCAAAGAATATCTCCAATTATTTACTCCACTCAAAATTCAATTTTGTGGCAGATCACTTGGTCATCACAGTTTTAATGAATAAAAGGAGTAACTTTCTAAAGAACTGTGGTGCTGCATCAGTGAGGGGTGTTACAAGATGATTTGGTTCAAAATTGTTGTGAAATGGCCACTACAAAGAGATTCTAAAGCTGACATTTTGAGCATTAGTTCTTCATCAGAGCAAATTTATTCTGAGGAAGGACTAAAGCTCAAAATGTCAGCTTTAGAATCTCTTTATTGTGGCCAATTTGCATCATCAACTTAGTTAATAAAACCAATGTCACTCTTAAATGTGTACTACATAAAGGGGAACAGTTTTATTTAGTATATAGATCTGCATCATTGATGAAAATTTTCCTGTCTGCTAACATTTCTAAAAGAATTTGTGTGGAGAATTTTGTGGTGGAACAATAATAGGATTATCAATTATTGATAATCCTCTAGGCTGGGTTGTTCAAAGCTGTGAGACAATAACTGAGGTTTAGTGTGAAATCTCACTTCAGGTATGAAAGCTGTAAAAGAATATTTGGTATAATTCTTTTTGTCTATAATTTGATGCTTGAAAGCTCTAAAAAGGATAGAGAAAATTATTTGAAAAAGGTTTTTGAAGAAAGAAACAAAGAAACTCAGATTACTGTAGTTATTCAGTTATAAGGCGCACCGTTTTTTTCAAGAAATTCCTAATTTCTGCTAAAAATTACTGCCAAAGTTTGGGTGCGTCTTATAGGCGAATATTTTCCCGAAACAATTTTTTTCTATCACAGTTACTGGTACGATTTCAAGCAAATAAAAGGACATACAGTGTTGGTCATTAACTTTTATAAATATGGTGGTTCTAAAAAGACGAGCAAAGGGCGGGTGCTTAGTAATTTGATACGTCACAAAACGAAACGAAAATAAACAAGCGAACAGATAAATACCTTCTTCATCCATTCAGCCTTTTTTGTGCACTTAGACCTGCATTCTCGGCAGTACGTCAATTCTTGTTTAATCAAGGCTTTTGTTTGTGCGCATTGTTGCGTGTGCGACAATTCTGCTTTTGTTAATTAACGGTAAACTAAAATCAATATGCGACTTTTTCGCTTTTTTGTAAGTTTATGAAAGAATTTACAATAAACTTGACCGATCTTTACTCCCCAAAAAATGGTGCGCCTTATAACCAAGTATTTTAGCGATATTTTCAGTTTGAAAACAGGCAATAATGAACAACTGGTAAATCTTATCTGGCTTTTATAACGAATAAACGGTAAATCTTAACCCTGGGTTATTGCTAACAGGCCTTTGAACAACTGGGCTCTGGACAATATTTTGTGCTATTCCCAACACTTGGCTGCTTGATACTGTATTGATATAGTAAGGAGAAATTATGTCTTGGTAATTCATGGGAGTTAAAGGGTTAAACCTAATTTTTTTCCTTTTTCTTTGTTTTATTTTCAGTAATCCTGAGTGTAGGTTTTTGGCAAGTTCATCAAAAGTAAGTGTTGCTCAACAATGAACCTGTTATCACATGAATACTCTGGAAATTTCATCATAAAGTAAAGGACATCCAAAATTTCTCAGGCTCCTTTAGTTCAATTGAAAGCAAAGATCATTTTAACCCTTAAACTCCCTTGATCTGATTGTTAATTCTCCCCTCTAGCTGCTACACATCTCCTTGTAAATTAGTGACAAGAATTTGGTGTTATTAGATGAAGATAAAAGCTTCTACTTGATAACTTTGAGTATTCTTATTACCTGTTTGCTGGGTAATGTATGGACACCATAGGGGAGAAGTAATATGTTAATCACTTCTTGGAGTTAAAGTGTTCACAGTGGCTCAAACAAGTATGCTGTATTTAGATTATTTTCATCTTGTTTGCATAAGTCATGTTTTCTTTCACGGGATGGAGTTTTGATGGTCAGCAGCAGAATTCTCCAATTGGTAACTTGTTTTTATAAAACTTTTAAACAGTTTGATTTCAATGTTTTCAATGAAACGATGATTATATAATCCTTATGATGTCCATTAAGGGGTTTCATTCAATTTTTTCTTTGAGCAGCTGCAGACAACACAATAGGCAGCTTAGCCCACAAGGTGAAATCAAAACACGGGAGCCCACTCCTAAGCTAAATAGACAGCTGTAGGAGGTCTTGCAGGTGGCAGCAGACAGCTAGTAACTGGTTTTTAATTAAACTTCTGCCTGTTGTTTTGTGAATTACATTGATCTCTAATGTTAAGTATCTCAATTACTTTCTCCTCTGAAGGATACAACTATCAAAATATGGGATTGCATCCTCAGTCAGTTGATAAGAACATTATCAAGCCATACCAAGTCAGTGACATGTATCAAGTGGGGAGGGGAGGGGCTTATTTACTCCTCCTCTCAGGACAGAACAATTAAAGTGTGGAGGGCAGATGATGTAAGCGAGTTTCTGTATGAAACAAACTTTTTTGTTAATGCTGATGGTTGGAAGTATTGAAGTCTCCCTCTTATCTGTCATTTGGTCTCGTCATGCAATGGGCTTTTTCCCTCTCCCCCTTCCTATTAACCCTTTGACCCAAAAGAATGACTGACACCTAATTTCTCCTTACCATTTCACCCCCACATCACACATTGAGGTCATGAGAATATAGGAACTGATCACTGACTAAAGATGCTCATGGTTGTTAAACAAATTCTCCTTGTCAGCATGTTAGGAAAGGTACAGAAAATAGTATGGAGAATATACATACTGATATTGGGATGTAAACTGTTAAGGCTGAAATATTTGAGCTTGTCTGTCATTAGCTTCTAAACTCAAAGGAATGAGGTTCCAGCCAAAGCAGCCCTTGGAAGGGGAGGGAAGCTGTTGCATGACAGGAACAAATGATAGCTGCAAAGGGGAATAGTAGCACTGCAATACACTCATTTAAAAAGTAATCCTTTCAAATTTAAACTGAGTATTGAGATTTATACCTTATTATTAATTAAGGTGTTATTGCCAACCACTTGACATGCACAGTCATCTTCTCTTTTAATTAGTTTTCTTACTTGTGGGTGTTTGGGCCTTTCTTTATGTGTAAATCTCAAACAAAAACTTTTTCTAGATAGAAAGTTCTCTTTCCCTTTCCATCACTGTAGAACAAAAAGGGCTTTTAATAAGGTCAAAAGAAGTCCAGGATTTCAATTGTTTAACATTACTTACTAGTATTGTTTGAAAACAGTTGTCTCTCTCCTCACCAATCAGATGCAAATCTTAAATCAGTGATTGTGACCCAAAGGGCTGAGCTGGTTTGTTTTGATTTGTGATTTATGACTGTCACAGTATTTAATAGTGCTCTATAAATCATGATATACAGTAGGTAGTTATACCATCATCTTAAACATTTTGGTTCTTTGTCTTTCCATTTTCTAGGGAGTTTTGTGTAGAACATTGCAGGGCCATGCACATTGGGTAAGTTTGCAGTCAGGGAGGTAAAAAGATATGGAAGAATAAAAATTTGAGTAATGTTAAGTTTTGTTCAAATCATTTGATTATATTTCTAAGCAGCAGAGAGATAATTATAAACAATGGAATCTTTTGTTCATTTCTTGCAAATGATTGTAAAATATTTCTTAAGCAGTCATTGCATTCTATTTTTTTTATATAACAGGTGAATCACTTAGCACTGAATACAGACTATGCTTTAAGAACTGGTGCATTTGATCCATCAAAAGGCTCAAGTGATGAATTAGTTACAGCAGAAAATGATACACTGAAAGAGAGAGCACTGCAAAGATACACGCATGCAAAGGTATACCATCAATTTTCCCTTTGACCCCTTAAGGGTGACTAGCATCTAATTTCTCCTTACAATATCATGCCTGAGTCACACCAAGGTTATGAGAATAAAGGAAATGATCACCAATCTCCTGATTATTAAACTGACTCTCTCTGTCAGTACCATAGGCAACATATAGAGAACTGTATGGAGAATATGCATGCTGGTGTGAGGGTGTAAAGGGTAATCCATCAGCTCACAGCAAATTAACTTCTAGGTGGCTGTTATCTTGCTGCTCAAGTTAGAGTTATCTTTCTATGATCAAATGCTTTTTTTTCTATTCAGGGAGGAAGAAGAGTGCGACTGGTTTCAGGCTCTGATGACTTCACTCTATTTCTTTGGGATCCAGAGGAAAGCAAAAAACCTCTAGCCCGCATGACAGGTCAGATAAGTGGGTACACCTGTACACAGATTAGAGATGTTTGAAACTTCAATAGGACAGGAAGGGGTCTGATGTTTCGAGCATTAGCCCCTTGTCTGTTAGCCCTTCACCATTCACTCTGATGAAGGGCTAAAACTTGAAATGTCAGCTTTGAAACTCTTTCTGGTGGTCAATTTACATTATCAATTCAGATGATACCGGTAATTCTGAATTACTCTGTTATACTCTCCCACCTATGCAGCACCACAGTTTCTTCAGAAACTTTCCGTCTTTAAACTTCTTGTTGGTTTATGCTATATAGTTAGGATTAAGTTCCACTTATTGAGCTCCATGGTACAAAAGCAGACTTCAGCTTTGGTTATTTTGGAAGGACTCGATAAATGGTCTTTCCATGGATTCTAAAAGTTAACACAAGCAGTAAAATAAATTTTGCATTATCTTTTATATTGCTGCTACTTACAAGTTAAGATCAACAAAAATTGTCTTGTTTGGTATCACATCCCAGAACCCATTGTTTGTTCATTTTCAACTTTTAGGTCACCAAGCTCTTATAAATCAAGTCAGCTTTTCTCCTGATGGTCGCATGATAGCAAGCGCCTCATTTGATAAGTCAGTTAAAATCTGGAATGGTGACAGTGGAAAGTAGGTGGAATTAACCTCAGATTTTACTACTTGCCTCAGCCTTCAATCCTGGCCATCCTATTATATGTTATTTCATGAATAATGTAATTGGCTTTATTTTTCATTAGGTACATCATATCTCTTCGTGGACATGTGAACTCTGTATATCAGGTAAGGAGTTCTTCAAAACTTTTACTGTGCACATTTTTAAGTCTGGTTTATTTTATTCTAATTTTCTTGTTCTTCTTTTTGTATTAATTGGCGAGGTGTCAGTTTCAAGAAGACCATTCAATGACTTTTCTGGTGTCCATGGTAATCTTTTCTTTCCACCAGGATTCCTTGAGATAAAAATACAAACTTTGCAATGATCGTTTTCCAAGTTGTGGTATTCCTGGTATTCTTAACAGTGTTCAAATTTTCCTAGATTGCTTGGTCAGCGGACAGCCGACTTCTTTGCAGTGGAAGTGCAGACAGCACCCTAAAGTTAAGTGCTCAGCGAGCCAATAATATTAAGAGTGTGGTGGAGTGTAGGATTATTGTTTCAACCTCGTTCCAGGGTTCTCTTCTGCTCGTTCCCTCTCGTTTCGAAGGAAGAGGAGGAGAGAACCCTGAGAACGAGAGTTGGATTGTTTGCAAAACAATCAACGAAGCATGCAGCGCACGGATGTGAAAAGAAGTCCTTTTTGTCTAAAGGAATCGGCTTTTAACGGTTACTAAGGGTGTGGACCAGTATTTCAATCAAGATCCTAGACAAGTGTCTTTTTGGTAGTGGGGAGGAAGGGGTGGGCGGGGACAAAATAAGTCGCGTTTCTTAACAAAGGAGAGGGTGGGGGTCGTTCGCATCTTAAGACCAACCCAACTCTTCCCCCCTGAGCCACGACGTGGGTTACAGAAAATCTTTGAAAGAAGTGGTCGAGTCGAGAGAGAGGAAATGCAGTAAATTTTGAGTTGTCATGAACGCAATCTTTTAATTTAATAGGTGTGGGATTTGAAAACAAAGAAAATCATGGAGGATCTTCCTGGTCACGCAGACGAGGTATATGGTGCATAATTCATTACTCAATAACTTTCGTAACCCTCGCGTACTCGTCGGTTCACCCTTTAACTCCCAGAAGTGGTTAACATGTAAATTCTCCCCTTGATATTTGTACAGTATCCAGCAAACAGGTAATGCGAATACTCAAACAAATCAGGAAGAAGTTGTTATCTTGATCTAGCGACAACCTCTCGTAAATGACTTATAGGGAAACGTGTAGCAGCTAGAGGGGAGAATTAACAATCAGATCGTGGGAGTTAAGGGTTTAGAACCATTGCTTACAAGGCTATATATATAATGAACTGATGACTTCGCGCCTTGATCATTTAGAGCGCAGATGCACTGCTATCGTCTTGAAAATAAAGTAGTTTTCTTTGTTTTTTCCTCTGTGTTGCTCGGTTTTTTAATGACACATTTTCTAGCCATCCTCTGCAATACAACAAAATGAAATATCCAAGTTTGTGTAATCTAATAATGAGAGCCTCGACGGGATATCATTCACATTTTTAATTCGAACCTACTGCTGCATTAGCATGTTCTGTTGAATGGGAGATCCCGCGCCGTAAGGGACGGTAATTACATCGAGCGGCTCACAGAATTTTTTTAAGGGACGTTTTCACAGGCGTCACTTTCGTCGCGATTTAGACTCCCTAAGAAGAATGCCGAACGTTTACGGCAATGTCAAATAGGTAAAACCCTCGTTTTGTTCCATGTTCCTATAATCTTCTAGTCAACGCTGCATAAAAATTGACTCTAATTTTTGTTCACCTGAGTTAATGTAAACACATGCATTTTCATCTCGTGGACAAGCGGCTTAAGGCAGACTGAAAAAAACGTTTTTTTCCCTTCTCTTCCGACAGGTTTACAGTGTCGACTGGAGCCCAGATGGTGCCAGAGTTGCAAGCGGAGGAAAAGACAAAGTCCTGAAAATGTAAATGATTTTTTAGCTTGCGTTTAATTCAATGTCATAGTATCCAGGCTTGGGTTCGTAATGTTTATAGTTGTGTTATATTTTAGCACTCGCGAATTTTAGGAGAACTTAATATCTGTATGAACAATACTTGATTGGATTTTTTCTGACCTTTTCACTCCCAGAGGCGACAGACGTGTAATTTTACTTGTGACATTTTCGACGCAATATCTTTCTACCAGGCGATGAGAATTGCTAAACGTATTAGTTATAGGGTATTATCTTGATGTAAAACTCCTCTTTTCCTACTTATAAAGAATTGTATAACAGGAAGAAGGGAGAATTGCTAATCAGATATTGAGAGACTTTTAGAGGGGTTATGTCATTGCTACTGTATTCCTCCGCATTCTACCTTGTGCGGGACTTTGTTAGCTGGGCTTTCTGCATACAGTTTGGTTTTATCAACCGAATTGATGATGTAAATTGGGCATACAGTTTGGTTTTATCAACCGAATTGGTGATGTAAATTGGTCACCATAAAGAGTTTCTAAAGCGAACGTTTCGAGTGTGAGCTCTATTCGCAGTCAGCTGTAGAAACTCTTTACATTGACCAATTTACACAAACTACTTAGTTGATAAAATCAAGTTATCTTTTAATACCCCCTCTGACGCAGCACCACAGTTTTGGAAACTCACCTATTTATTCTTTCTGCATGTAATTTACCCCGTAAGAATACTCCTGTCCCTGTCCCTCTTCCCTCCCCCTGTCCCTGTCCCTCTTCCCTCCCCCTGTCCCTGTCCCTCTTCCCTCCCCTGTCCCTGTCCCTCTTCCCTCCCCTGTCCCTGTCCCTCTTCCCTCCCCTGTCCCTGTCCCTCTTCCCTCCCCTGTCCCTGTCCCTCTTCCCTCCCCTGTCCCTGTCCCTCTTCCCTCCCCTGTCCCTGTCCCTCTTCCCTCCCCTGTCCCTGTCCCTCTTCCCTCCCCTGTCCCTGTCCCCTTCCCTCCCCTCCCCTCCCCTCCCCTCCCGTCTCCCTCCCCTCCCCTCCCCCCCCCCTCCCCCCTCCCCTCCCCTCCCTCTCCCCCCTCCCCTCCCCTCCCCTCCCCTCCCCTCCCCCCTCCCCCCCTCCCCCCCTCCCCTCCTCCCTCTCTCCTCTCTCCCCTCCCCCCCCCTCTCCCCTCTCCCCCCTCCCCCTCTCCCTCTCCCTCTCTCCCCCCTCCCCCCCCTCTCTTCCCCCCCCCCCTCCCCGGATTGGCTCATATGAGTATTATCGACAAGCTTTGTACAAACACTAAGTATCTGTGCTTCTTTGTTGTAGGTGGAGATCTTAAAGAAAAAAGACAACAGATCGGCGTTTGGAAAGTAGCACGTACGCATCCGAAGGGACGATCCGCGGAAAGGAAAAGGACGAGAGCCTACGCACTAAGTTAACGGCGCGGCTTGCTCTGAGAAACTGGATAAGTGTTACAAGTGGACAGTCCATGATTTATGAAGATGGCGATCGGAACAAAATGCAATTTTTGTTTCATTAATTTCGAATTTTGAACCTCTTTCCTACCATCAAAGGAAACAAGATTTGTTCTGAACTGCGAAAATACCGAACCGAAGCTTCCATCACAGAATTCATTTTAAATGATAACTGAGGCACTTTGATGATGAAATAGCCACACCAAAGATTTGTACAGTTTATGGTACAGGAAAAGGAAATGGTGCAAATTGGAGAATACACCTTCAAGTCGCTGATCAAATAACCTGACTGACCACGGTGTGTTCGAGGGGTGGATAACGCGATGCACTGGATCGATCTCCATCCGGCGGACAGCACGGTACTGGATTGCTATTTATCCGTTGGATAGCGTTATCCATCCTCCTAACAACTTGGCTCCGAAATTTTCCAGCAGTTGCAGTTGTCGGAAACTGCTAATTCGCATGTTGGTTTTGTTTGTCTGCTTGTTTGTGCATTTAAGCGCTGTTCTTTATTTTTTTCCTGGAATGAGGGTATTAGTCAATTCAAACTTTACTCTTTTTTAATTTGATAGTTTTGAGTTAATGCTATGGTATATTTCAATACAGATAATATAAAGGGCACATAACTTCTGGATGCACCGTCTTTCGTGCAATATCTGATATTTCAGTACAAATTATTTTAACCGATGTGTGTCTTTAAGGCCAATTTACACCCGGCATCAGTTTTACACCCAGACCTTAGTCCGTAGTCCGCAGTGGTCCGCGGTCCGTAGTCCGGTTTCACCAACCATGTCGAAACGTCAGTCACCACTACCGACAACAGTCTGTCTCAGGATGATACTATAGGAAAATTCATTACCTGACGAGGGAATTCCGCGTTGAATTGCGCGCGAAAACCGATATCGCACGAATCGCGAAGCAAGTTCAGTCGTACAAGTTTGAATCTTCGACAACTTTATTTGTACCATGTACTTGTTTTTACATTTGTTTTCAAACTTTTTAAACAAGCTTCTCACTCTCATGAGAATAATAGTGGTATTTCACTGAATTTACAAGCCGTTTATCTTTAATATCTTTTTTCAAATTTCCAAATCATTTGCTCGGGAAGGAAAATAATTTATACCTTTTACCTCTTTGATGGCAAAACTGAAAGAAATGAAGTGTCCAAGCGAAAGCAACGGAAGTTTAATATCGCGATTAAAGGTATTTATTTCTTCTTCTGTATATGACAATCGACCCTGGCACTTCTTCCGTTGTCGCTTCTTCGTCTTGTTTTGCTTGCCATTTTCCGAGCCTTGTTCACAGGATTATCTCGCTTTTATGCCTCTCCAAGAATTTGTAGTTCATTTCAAAGCAGTGAAGAATCTCTGGCTCACTTTGAAAAACGCTTTTGTTTGTTTTTAGCTCTTCGAAAGTTGACAATGGTTTTGTAGAAAACTTTGTTACAATTCGCGACACAATATCACTTAGCCTCGTTTTCAACTCGCAATTCCATACTTAGTACTTCGCTTCGTTGACCAATCAGAATGCGAGATTTTATTCAATTGTGCGATTCTGCTCGGGGCGATCAGAGAATCGAACATACCCTTTATGTGTGGTTCCCGAGAGTCCTGATGTTTCCCTCGACTTCGTCTCGGGAAACATCTGAACTCTTGGGAAAACAAAACTAACTAGTTTCTCGAGGAACCATACCTTAAGCGCTTTGTTATAAATTTACAATCATATGGCGAAAAAAAAAAAAACAGACGGCACAACTTCTTTATTCACAATCGTGAATAAAGAATCGTGAGCACGTACTGAAGATCACGCTATTTTAATTTAGTCATGCATTGATCGCGTGTCGTTGTATTTAGCGCGCGTGCAACAACTGCGAAATTGTATCCCGGTCGGGATACATTTGAATTTGATCAGGGGCACGTGACCAAGAATCAAACAATCACACTAGGTAGCCAGTCTGGTATATAACAAAATCATATCAAACCATTAACTGGAGTTGTACGATTGAGGCGTCAATTGAGCTAAAGGAATGAAACAGTAGGAGTACGTCCTAATTATTTTATTGCCATCTATTATTTTCATCATTGTTTCTTTAATTGCCGTTCACGGTAAATTCCTCAATACGGATCTGATCGGGCGCTGGATTTCCAAAAACGTATTTTCCGATTTTCTGAAGGAAAAGAAGGATAAATACGAAACGCTGAGATGGCAATTTAAAGACATCGATCTCACATCTTAGAGGAAAACATTATCTTGGATTTGGCTCAGTTATTTTCAGTTGTTTGATAGGATGCTTTGTGGCATGATGACATGTAATGTTTTGGCAACTATTTCTACTCGAAGTAAGCAGCGATTGCGATTTAGAAGACCCTTTAAAAGATTGCTTCGAAGTCGAATTCATGCGTTGGCCGAAGCGAGATCCCATCAACTGTAGGCGAGCTGCCATTCAAAACGGAACCACATAGTCCTCTGCTTCAAAATTGTTTTCAATCTTGGAGTGGCCACAGATGCAAGCTATGGAACATTCAAGTTTTCCATGTTGGCCTTTAGCTTGGGTTCGAGCGCACTGTTGATTATTGAGAAACCCAAAACTCAGCGAGCATTAAAATTTTTCATCACGGTACTGGTTTTTCTCGTCGCGGTAACTCTAAGTGTTTTGATGCCCACCCCTTTCGGTGCTGCGATTTTGTCGAACAATCTTGTTGTTATCTCTCAGATAATAATAAAATTATGGATTTCATTCAATTTCTTATGGTACTTCCCCTGGGATAGGCTGATTGTATTAAACACTACGAAGAACAACCTGAACGACACTGGCTTAGAAAACCCCGTTGCCGTTACTGACGACAATTAGAAGTGTCAGTCCATGCCGAAAATGTGTGGGAAAAGGACTCAAAACAGTTTTTCAACAATACCGCGTAGGTTGTGTCTAAGTTTGTAAATTTCTGTAAGCATGCATGTACAGATCGAAGTGTGAACAGAAACAGTGTGCAGTGTATGACCGTTCGTGCGATTGTTTGGTTTATTTGCTCTTCCTACTACATATATAGTCTACCTGAAAGTTGGAACTAGAAAGTTATTAAAGTCGCGGGTAAGGAGTAGAATCAATCTGTGCCGAGATATAGACACAAATGAGTCCAGTATATTTTGAACACAATCGCTCACTGAAGAGCGAGGATGTGAGTCTTAGTTTGCTTTTGTAAGTCACCATGGGAACCGAAATTTAACTTGTTAATTCTATCGGTGAATAAATTGTATTTAATAAAAGACTTGATAGAATCAATTTTAACCCCGATAAGTTGTCGGGTGTTCCGAGTGTCAAAAAAGGTGGCTCCTCGGGTACACTTTCGCCAGGACGTGCGTTTGATTTTGTGATTTGTGACATATTTTTGCATAAGGTGTTGGAAACTGTACGATACGTTAATTATTCTCAATTTGATTGACATTTAGAAGTGATTTCGTTTATTTATACATAACCAAGCAAACATGTATGCGGCACGTGTTTTATCGCCCCATATATGGCACTTTTCCACGTGCATAAAACGGGACGTTGAGTTTTGTTTTTTCTAATAAGCCGAGAGTCGTGAGTGGGAGTCAACCGGCGAAGCATTGTAGCAAAATCGTCGAATAAACCGTGAGTAAATAAGAAAGCGTGGTACAGCTTTTTTCACGTTTTCGACCAAGGGATGTAATTCAACTAGTCAAACATAATGTTAAAGAAACTTCAGGAGGATTATACTGGAAAATATCAATAAAGCTGCATAATACTTTTCTGTTGAAAATGCTGAGGAATTCCCGCATCGCGTAAAACAGGTATCGTACAATGAATAGAGGATTCAGTTGATGGTTCTATCCTTAGGAAGTTGTCTTTCATTCGAGTAAATTTCGAGTTCATGCGGGTTTTCTGAGAACGAGGCGATAGCTCATTGACCTCATCAGGTAACATGAGACCGACTTCCTTTGATTCTGAGAAAATTGGGTTGTCTCTTCATTTCAATCCTTTCGCCTGGTGTTCAAAATTCTTTTGCAGAAAACAAAAGCGAAACTCCATTTTATCATCATTAAAACCCAACCAAAGATATGTTGCGGTCTCCGTACTCCGAACAATTAACGGAAAGTACATAAAACGAAGTGAAAAACATCATTCACAGGCTTTCACCTGGGTAAAAAAATGTGTGCTCTTTGTTTGGTTATTAGCTATTTGGATTAAAGCCAAGTCTACACATCACAAATAGTTCGTGTTGAAAAAGAGCCCAGGTACAGATTGAAATAAATAAAAACCAGCCACAATCTTGAAAAAACTGACTGGGAAACTCTTTGAAACGAGGTTGATGTCCAGTGCTCAGGCTTGAAGCATGGAAAAAAAGCACGCATGCGTAGGAGAAACTGGGATAGGTTCGAGGCAACAGGTTTGCCCGGGAAACTACAGGATAAAACTTTCACTGTACAGCATCACTTCATAAACATATTGCTCAACTTTTAATCTCTTATCACAAAAAAGTTATAACAACCTCTTTCCATCTTTCTCCCTCTCTCCTTCTCTCTGCTAGTCTGCGCGGCTGTTTCTCCCTCAATAACTGAATCGTGAATTGAGTTCAAGGCTTGTCTCTCCGTTTTTTAACGTTCCCCCGATGTTACGAGACTTCGTAAGTAATAACCAGCTTGAAGTGTCTCGTTGCGTGACTCATTTTTTCCGACTCAATTTTCCCTTTGATTGGCGCCTCGGAGAAGATCCCTCTCCCAGGAACTTGGTTGACAATCTTGCAACTCCTGTACAATAAGCAAAGAGGAAACTTCACAGCTTTCACTTGAAGAAGTGACCTGAATAAAACTTCTCCTTACACTTATCAATATAATATGAGGAAAATAAAAATATATCAGTTAAGAAATAACCTCATTTACAACCAAATTCTCAGAACTAAGATTGTAAGTAAAGTATAACAGATAGTAAGGAGATTATTGAGGTCTCTGGAGTGAAAGGGTTAAAGACGTTAAAAGAGAAGAATAAAGCTCCTTTTTTCCTGAAGGCCCGTGAAGACCACATCGTACTGTTTATCTGCGGCTTAGATAAGGGAAGCGGTACCATAAATGTTTCTTTAATTTGTCTTCAGGTGTTGTAAAGTCATCGCAAAAAAGTTAATGATTGATCTTAGTCTGTCCGCAGCTGTGTTTTTTCCTTGTAAAGTGAGTTAGAGCGGAAAAGAGCGCGCGGGGAGGGGATTATTTTATTCGTGTTCTGGTCAATGTTTTGTGAGAAAATGAAAAGTCTTTTATCAGAATCATTGATCTTTCTGAGGCGAAGAAATCTTTCAATCGTGGGATAGAGGAGGGAACATTATTATGTTGCGTGCATCTGGTCAACATTGCAAGTGCTGATGAAATGAAAATTACCTGTCGTGTTTCAACCGGTGCGTTTGACATCGCTTGTTGCATTTCTAAATGACGCCTAACATCCGCTATCTTTTCTTCAAGATCACTCACTTCCTGCGAAAAGAAAAAGATCAAATCTTAAGGGTCAATATAAGTTGATAGCCAAAGCTAGAAATATGCGGAGGATTGTGTGATATAATACCTGATGTTTGGTTGCCTCCGCATCCCTCAGTAAGTCTTCCACTTTCTTCACCTTTTCTTGCAATAACTTTTCATTTTCTGACAAAAATTTGTTTAACTGAAAACAAAAATATTACAATCGGAATCAGTTCACACACCCTTTACGTTTTAGTTGTCACCTTTTAGAGGTAGTGACAACGCACCCTGGTCCTTTTGACTAAGTGTCGCAAAACGAAAAGTTACTTGATTGAAACGGCCAATCAGAGCAAAGGTAAATAAAATGAAGAGCCAATGAGAACTCAATATAAATACAGGTAATAAAAAGCCTGAAGCGCAGGAAAACGCCACAAGTAACGGTTGGTTTAAATTTTGAATCTGATTGGTTGAAAGTATGGTGCAAGATGAACAATTCAAGCAATCACGCAGCGAATTAAAGAAAAATCAAAGCAGTCTTCGATTACTTTCCATATTTAATTGAAACGTCTTTATACGTTATAAACCGTGTTGGTGAAACTCCACAAACCTCTTGCATGTTTTTAAGTTCTTTTTTAAGTTTTGGAATCTGACTTTGAGCCTGTTAAGCAAAAAAATAGAAAACAAAACAAAATAAAAACCAAACAAAAATAATATGATTCATTAGGAAAAAATAAACAAATTTAGAGTAATTGGATTAAACATGCCAAAAGAGCTGTTGGCCTCCCGTTTTCCTCCCTCCACAAAAACAAACACTCTAAATTCCAATTCGAATTGGACTCCGTGGAAAATAAGGGCCATCACTTGGAATGTCCACAGCTAAATTCCATTTATTATTTGTTTATTATTTAATATTGATTGGTTGAAAAGGAGTTTTTAGTGGCAAGCACAGAACAAGGTAAAGCAAAACCAATGCAAATCATTTTTCAGTACTCAATTCAAAATTAGTCAGCAGTTGTTGTTATCGTTGCTGCTGCTTTAAACGTCATGTCTGGTAGCTCTAACCTGCGCGACTTTTTTTTCTGAATTCTTCTTTTCTTTCTCAGCTTCGGCGAGCTTCAATTTTAAATTCTCATTAAGTTCATCCAGTGTTTTATTTGTTCTCTCTTCCATAGTACTCCTCTGAAATATTTCTGAAAGAAAAGAAATACCTAAAATTAGAAAATACTGCTAGAGACACAAGTGTACACCATATGTTCCAGAGCCATACGAGAGGATAAACCTGAAAATCAGCAAATGTTAAACATAGAAACATGAGTGTCTATAAAATCAATGTAGCCTTGCTTTGTTTCAAATGTTAACTTTGACAATTACTGGTCCATATCAACGTATGGAGATGAGGAAAGTATTTTTTGTTCTCAAATGACTTTTTCTCTGTAAAAAGATGCCGAATGCTATACTTATCCTTCTTTAATACTGTCACTGTTCTTCTATAGAGGATTCTATTGCACACAGAGCATATGTAATAAGGGCCTTCTCTGATTTTCTTTTGACAGGAAGTGATACAAGAATCCAAGTCATTCCATTTGGTAACTTTTGTCTGCTTAGCCTTACTTGTTATATCATTTTTTCCCCAAGCAATTTCTCTTTTTTCCCACCACCCATGTTTTGATATACTTTTCTTTTTTTAGCTTAGACATGTTGTTTTTCATTTGCATCCATAGATTGGTATTTTTCTGCACAACCGATCAGAACATTTTCCTTTTTGTCCTCATGATACTGAAGACAACTACATTTTTGAGTTATTCTTTTTTTAATAAAAAAAACCATCTATGTTAGCGTATATAGAGTGGTATGTTGCTCGCACTAATCAGATCACCACATTAGGGTGTGTATCTCGTACCGATCAGAACGCCGTTTTTGTTCTTTGGTTTGAGAGGTGTTCAAATTTCAACGAAGTAATGGGGGATTCGGCGAGAGCGGTTCGTAAAATGGAATCATCTTTTAGAACGAGAAACGTTGGCTTTTCTGTTTTTTAATGTGTATTTTACCGCGCTCTATGAGAAATGCGATACTTCTGGACAGATGAAAGCCATCAAATTACCTTTGGTAAACGTGTTACTCATGATGTGAAAATGGTGGATAGTTGTTCGAGAGAAATAGAGTCCATGCACTGTACCACGATCATTGTTATTGTTCCTTCACGACGAGAGTGAGTGGGAAAATTTTGAATCAAATATTGCTTGAGGTGTTGATGAATTGCACCAAACATTTTGATTTGAGCAGTTCTTTAACGGCAAGCTGTGTTGCAAGATTCGTGATTTGTGGAGTGTGCCGATTGTATTTTTCTGGATTGGTTTGCTCGGTGCTATCTCTAGATGAATGTCCGAT